TTATGGGGTATGGCAAAAATATTTCATAAAATAATTTTGTTTATAAAAAATATATCCTTACAATAAAATTTACTTATACATATTTATTTAAATTAGAGTAGCAGATATTACAAGCAAGAAATAAGAAGTACATCATATTTTTTGAGGAGACCAATATGAGATTGATTAATATAACTATTTTTGATTTCATCTCATTGCACTGGTCAAACATTTGATTCTTTTATCTTATCTATTTATTCATTTTTATCAAAATCTTGCACCCATCAATTATATCAACATGTACAAGGTACACATATTACATTAAAAATTACTGTAACTTAAAACTGATGCATGCAAATTGTACATTCAAATACTATTTATTTAAATGACACATGCTCTTCATTTAAATAAATCAAACAATTTTTTTTTTTAATAGCATTTAATTGCATTGTTTCTATGTCATTAAACCTTAAATCTAAATACTTCTAATTTTATTTCATTTTATTTTATTTTATGTCACTCTATGTACCATAAATATATACAAACATTCAATAATATATTTACATCTGTAACCTTATTTTAGGTATTTCTAACTTGACTTTATATAAATAACAAACAGTGTTATGACAATTATATAAATAATAAAGAATCCTTAATAACATTTATTTTTTATCACACACACTTGTGTATTTCTTGGAGAAAATAATAAGACGCTTTTTTTAAAACAAAAATATTTATTGTATTCAATTGTACTCCAAATAAAATATGTTCATTAGACGAAGAATATATCTCAATTTATTTATCCGTTTTTTTCCATGATATAAATGTTTTATATACAGTCACCACGGCACATAAATTGACAATAAACAAAGAAAATTTCGATTCAATTTTACATCGTATTTAACATTGTAACTTATGCCAAAATGTTAAGAACAAACATTAAATTCTGTCGACAAAATTTATTCTTTGAAAGAATATTATTTAAATGGTACCTTATATATTACAAAAGTAATAGTAAAATAAATATTTATTTCATCGAACAGCGAAGTAAAAATCTTCGTTAAGTCGGCCAATTTGAAAGAAAAGAAAAAAAAAAGGGGGAAATGTTGACCGAGCATGATCGGATCGTGAGAGAATCGCAATGTACAAACATCGTTAATTAACCTAGGCATCCAGAAACGATGGTCTATTTACCGTATCACCATGCTGAGCTCTGCGTTCAGAAACGGTATCGCTGCACGTTCGAGACACGCAACAACAGTCAACCGATCGTTTGCACAAAAACTATCGAAGTATAAAAATCATTTGTCCACTGTTATGCCTTAATTTAATTTTCCATTTCTAAATTACACTGTTACTATGTTCATGATATTCCAATAGTGTCGCGCTGATGATCCTCTTATTCATGATTACAGCACACACGGGGATCACAACCAATATTAACGGCAAGAAATCACCCTAATTAGGAATAATAGTATCAATAATACTTCACGATAAATGAGACACCGATATTTTTTTCCTCGATAATCGCTAGACGCACCAATTATTTGTAAGTACCTCGCATAAACTATACCTATCGAACAATCACGACCGAAGGATATATGAGTAGAAGCCGCCATAGGCACCAATGTAAGAAAAAAAAGTTCCTTGTTTCTTAGCACAACCTAACGTCTACACGATAAAACTAATGCAGCGCCAATTTCAAATAAATCAAGACTCACTGATTCTTTACCATATATATATGTAACCACGCATGTTTCATTAGTTTTATACTTATTGATTTTTCTGATTTTTCATGATTTATTTATTTATGATATTGTTCTTTCTTTCTGAGATAATAAATGATGTACAAAGTAGCAAATGGAATGTAAGATTCTTACATTATTTAAAATAAATTTTTATTATATTATTTTCGTATGCATGTTATGATATCGTTTCTAACAATTATTTTAATATTATTGAAGTATCAATTACATCGATTACTTATCGACTTTATCGAAATTACATGTATCTAATATTTCGGACAATTATCGATTACTGAATTATCTATATATTTACTATACTATTCATAAATATAAATGGTGATGTTTAGATTAGTAATATTTGTAAACTAAATTCTTTACAAATCATTAATATCGTCGTTTGAGAATACCGATATTTATAAATATCTTTACTTGAGAAGCATTCACTCTGTTTTAAATTGTAAGTATACTTATCTCTGTTTATAAAACGGTGGCAATAAACAAAACTAAAACACATTTCAGGACTCATTTAAAATGTTTAAATGCACTTCTGGAAGGTCACGATACTTATATTAAGAACATGTGTTTACTGAAGTCGTACAAAGATGAAGCCGTTATAGACTGATAAAGTCGTACATAGACAAAGAAATCGATTCTTTTATCATGATCTAACGTTACATTAAATAAATTTATAGAAAAGATTAAACTCTGATATTGTTCGATAACACGAAACAACGCTGTATTTTTACTGAAGGATTAGTCTTTGGACTACACTAACTAAATTTGCAAATCAATAAAAGAGAAAAAGATATCTAAAGACATTTAAACGATTAGAAAAGTCATTTAAGATGTATCTGAAAATGATTTATGATCCCATTATATTTATATTTATATATATTTATATGTACATATTTTAAACATTACCAACTTTATGGCAAAGTACTTACTATTATTATAGTATTGTTAAGCATAAATGTTTCATTCAACATTCTCTGTATAATTTTAAAGTAAAGCATCCTTAGTTACTCTCGTTGTAATAATAGTTTAAATTACTTATTTATTAACGAGGTTATATGTTTGAGAAAAAAAATTATTTTTATATATTTTTTATATTATGTTTTATATTCATAATTTTTATTTGATTCTAGAACATTGACACCAGTTAACTGAACCTTTGGAACTAGTTAAAGGGGCTAGTATTAAATTATACCTAAAGCTAAGATTTCATTAAAAAAGGAATAAAAAGATATGCAAGACCTTATTAATCATTTGACCGTATCATAATCAAGTAACGTGTTGTTAACAATTTCTCTCTTGAAGTTGATATAATAAAATTGATAAAATTGATATTTTTTAAATATAATTTGTACTTTTTTTTTAATATTCATGTTGACCGAATTGTGAGAAGTAAATTATGAAATTGTTATTTAACAATATATAGGTTCAATATTCACTATCTCTGGGACAAATAAATATTAATAAACATTCAATAAATCGAAATTTGAATGATTTTATTTATTTATTCATTCTTGGTTTGTCCAATTTTTTCAAATTTTATTTAAACTAGAAAATTTTAATATTTTGTATAACAATAATCATAAACCGTAAAATAGAATTCTTTGTATATTTGTTTCAGATTGTTCTAGCACAAATGTTAAATTTTAACTAGAAAATAAATATTCGAATGCATATGGTGCATGGTTTACATAAAATCTCACATTCTATACAAGCTTTCAATTATGGATCATCTAAAAACTTACCAATTAATTAATTAAAAAAGTACCGCTGGACATGCAAACGTTCGTCTCGGTACGTAACTTTTCTTCATTAATTATACGTCGAAGATTGCAACAATTTCTCCTCCCTTTATAGGTCATATAAACCGCTATATCGTATTTCATTATTCTATCTCCGTCACTTCAAAACGTAATGATTGTTTTTGTAGCTAATACTTCATTCTTCAAGATGACCTATCAATTTGAAGACTCGTATTTTGGATGAACCACAATCGAAATATACCAAATAATGTTTAATCAACGAAGATGGATGTCGGTAAAAAGAATTTATTTTTACTTTTCTTTTCGAAGTCACTAGTCGTTTTCGAAAAACATTGGAATCGTTATTTCCACATATACTTGAGGTAATGATACAAAAAGGAGTTGGTAAAAAACATTGATTAAACAATAAAATAAGATTGAAATCAGAACAAATATTTCTCTTAAAAAAATGGAGAAATCTTGTTTTGTAAATCTGATAAAGTTCGACGTATAATACTTTGGCATGGAATATGATATATCTCAAATAATAGACAAAATTGCAATATTAATGTGCATAATATATTGTTGCATAATATTACCACTTAATATTTTTCTAAATATAAATTTCATTTATCCATAATTTTTTAAATATTTTTTAGACTTACCTCGGCTATCAAAAGGGAAAAGCAGAAAAACAAAACGATCGCTTGCCTCAACAGCTTTGTTAAAGTACCTTGAAATGGCCATATTCCGATGATGGACAAAAGACGTTTATTTAATAAGTAAGCAGGTTGTTCGAAGAAATCCATGTCGACTATCGTCGCGCTTCTTTCATCGCTTCAACTTATAATCGTAACAAAGAGGTGAAGATGAAATCGATAGAAAGCGCATAAGCAGAATCGATGAAGATTTGTTCGTTAAATCATTAACGAGAAAATTAATTATTTAAACAAACGATACGGACCATCATTCCATATCCATTAAGTACGAAATCGAGATAAGACAGTTAATTCGAGGAGATTACTGTTTCCCCTCCATTTTGGTGCACTCTACAAAGAACATTTAAATGAAACGATCGATTGCTATTAGACTAACTGCTAAAAGCTATGTTTATAGAAGAATGAAAAATTGTCTATGCGAGAACAATTTTCATTTTAAAATAAGATAATTGAGCAAAGGATTTCTTCGGTATTATCGATGTAAAAGGGGCAAAACTGAGACTGTGGCTCACAAGTTACTAGCATATAAGAATTTTTACTCGTATTTACTTCGTGTTCTCATATTATAATATACATTATACTTGTAATAGCAAAGAAATAATTTAATTAATTTAATTAAATCGATGGTATCGTTATTACACATTTTGATTTATATTAACAAAAAGAAGTACAACCGACCCTGTGAAATCTTGATTTCAAAAACATCATTTATTCAAAAACTGTTGTACTTTAATTTTTAATATCTTTAAAGCCGGATTATGAAGTTTGGCATGGAATTGAACTTTTTCTTTCAAATTTATTTTATTTATTCATTCTCCTAATTTTATAATTTTATATTTTATTTCAGCTTAGAGGATTATACAATGTCTGGGGAGTTAATTATGATGCAGTTATCGAGTGCATACCACCGGTCATATCAATTTTTCTCAGTTTGTCGATGTATTTAAACGGAATTTTTAATGTAAAAAAGGTAGATATTTCCGTTGCAATCAGTTCATAAATAATCATTTAACTTTGATTCTATACTGATTGTTAGTAGAAAATAATTTTCTCAAGATGAAAGCTACTTGTTTCTTGTTACAATTAAAATTTACACGCAGTAACGAAAGCATGAAGAAACTTTCGAAAATACATTTGCAAAGGAATTTTTATGATTTTCCAGAGCAAATCTTTTTCGTTTTATTTTTATCAAACAATTCTCTTTTTGTCCGTACTGCAGATTAAGGATATGCTTTTATTCATTAAAAATAACCACGATTATTATATGAATCGTCCAGAAAATATGATTCTTCGATATTATAACATGCAAGGAAAAAAGATTACATTTTATTATGCCTGTGAGTACATCAAGTCTGAAAGTGAAAAGTTTTCCATTTCATAAGTTTTCAAGAGTGAAGTACCATATTATTTCTATTTTAGCATACGTTTATATAACAGTATTGGTTTATTTAATGTTACCAACGGTTCCACTGATAACTGATCTCGTTATACCTTCAAATCATTCTCAAAAGAAAAACTTTCTATACGAACTTGATTATGGCGTGGACAAAGAACAGTATTTTTATTATATATGCATACACTCATATGTGGGAACAACTATGATTGCCAATTTAATTAGTTCTTGTGATACCACATATATGCTATATGCTCAACATGCCTATGCTTTATTTGCAATTGTGAGGTAAAGTCTACGTTTCCAAAGATTTGATGATTTTTTATTGCAAAATAATTTTCTTGCAGTTATAAATTGAGAACCATACATATTATGGATACAAATTATTTGATAAATATGAAGGATCATCATGTGCTCGAAAACTACAAAAATATCGAATTATTACCGGCGGAGCAGAAGAAAGTTTACAGAAAATTATTCATTTGCATAAAAGAACATCAAAATGCGATAAAGTTAGTATTTTTAGTATATAATGACGTTGTTTATTTTCTTCTTATGATAAAAATTAATATATTTTGTTCTTCATAGGTATTCAAATCTTCTTGAATCATTGTTCAGCAAATCCATACTTGCTCAGTTGTTCTTCAATGTGCTTTGTTTTAGTATTACAGGAGTTGAAGTAAGTATTTATACAACTAAAGTTGAAAGTTTCTTATAGATGCAATAACACAAATATTTCTCTACCCTTAGGTTGTAATGAAAGTAGGTAATATAAGCGAAATGATAAGATTTGGATCGTTTACGTTCGCACAAGCTGTTCATATATTCTTTCTTTGTTTACCTGGACAAAGACTATTAAATCATAGTGAAGAAGTATATGTCGCAGCGTAAGAATTTTTCATATTTTTTATTTCTTTAATCTTTATATTTTAATTGGAAACTAATTTATTTAGATGCGAAGTAATATGGTATATACTTCCTAAAAAGTGTCATAATTTATACAAACTTTTACTTGCAAGAACTTTGATATCTAGTAAAATAACAGCTTTCAAACTGACAATTATGAGAATGGAGACATTTCTTACAGTAAAAACTTTTTATCATAATTTATTATGAATAATTTTAATACCATTTGTAATTTTATTATCATTAATATTTTTAGATTATTCAATCTGCAATGAGCTACTTCACTGTATTGTTATCAACTATATGAATTTAAGTGAAACATATTTTAATTACATATTTAATCAAAAATAATAAAACACTTTTGTTCTTCAAATTTTTATTTACATTACATACTGTTATGTATGACTTTTATCTTTTATTCGGTGACGTTTTGTTGAAAACAAATATACTTAAAAGTGGATAAATATATTTACATCAACGCGTAATAAATTGTAATATAAAACTTTTAACATTTACACATAATGTTATGTCACATGTTATACGATATTATACTGTCCTCGAAATCAAATAACTTTTATGTTATATCTCAAAATATATCGCGATTTTAAATTCTTCCCTTTTAATTGTAACTCGTAGTTACATTTAGAAAAATTATAACTATCTGTTCAATATGTTAAGTATCCAAAAATATGCAATTTTTTGAGAACAAAAAGTACATTTTACATAACAAAATAGTTGCCATAGAAAATCAAGTTCATGCTCGTAAAGAAACGAACTGGTGAAAAACATCTAAAATATGAGGATCCAGATCTGGTGTAAAAAGTAAAGTCTCTAATGTTGACGAATATTTTTGAACTTGTTCATGGTGCTGTAAATAGAATAAAACATATCATGTTCAAGAAAAAAATAGATTTATTTATATTACTTTATAGAAAACTTACAGTTAAAAACACTTGTTGTAATCTGCCTATAGTCCATCTGTACCAGTGAGTATTATAATCTATACCATCAGTATCACAACGTCCTAAATGCTCTGACAGAATCATTATAAAACGCTGAAAAGATATGTATAATTAATTTATTAATTTTATTTATTTTTATAACAGTATTGATAACATAATTGACTAAACCTGGAAAATAATAAGGAATAAATTTTTTTGGTCTGCTTGAGCTGTTTCCAATTTCTCCTCCATTCTTTCCACTACGTCTTCTGATGGCTTTTCTCTGTTTCTATCTTTGTTGGAATCTTCGTCTTCTGATGATGAACCCGATCTACTTTCTGCTCTTCTCAATTTTTCACGAGCTTCCGCTAATTCCGTACTTAACTTTGATACATGTTTATTCTTCTTTCGAATAATTAAATGAAGAATTTCCCAGATATATAATCTATAAACAAAAGAAGTTTTTTAAAATGATACAGTTCTAAAACTATATTCTTGTTTCAAAAGTTGTATGTACTTAGTAAATTCTGACACCATCTCTTTAGAAAATATCCAATTGGCGATGGCACTGCATTCGATAATTCCAGTCTTTAAGAATTTGTCTGTTAAAACTACCATCATTTGATAGTGATTCTTCCATAATGCATACATATTTCTCAGAATGCATATTTGAGCTTCTTCAGTTTCAGCAAGGACCTGAAATTATAAATTTACTAAATTTATAAAATGTACAAAAATACAAATTTATTAAATTGCAATTAATTTTGTTAGAATAACAATATTTGTTTAAAATCTTACTTGAAAAACATCATGAAATTTTCCTATTGCCGCAAAACTGTGACTAAAACTCTTCGAACCTAAATTCAATAATGTTTGTACAAAGACATCGATTTTCAAAGGATTGAAATTATTTGTCTCTTCATTTTCCCTAGGACCTGGTAACGTATTTAATACATTGAGTACTTCTTCCGGTGTACACTTACGTCTAATGGATACAACTAATTCATGAGCTGCTGCGGTACCCGGAAGCGAACCTATAACAATTTTCTTTTAATAGATTTTATCTATTATTTGTAAATGATGATATAAAAAATATATTTACTGGCACCCTCGAAAGTGTACTTATAAATAGGCTCTGGAGGCGGTGGAATTAGATCAGCGTATGATTCTGGCATCATATCTCGTATTCTTTGGTAATACGATAATCTAAATAAATTATACATAATATATAATTTTTAATTAATTAAATTAATAATTTAATTATTATTCAAATATTTCGTTAATTAATTTAGCACATATACCGTAAGGCTTTTAGAAGTACTTCTCGAATGAATTTCGGCCGTGGATGTTCTGGATCGCGTTGTAAACAAGAATCCCAATCTTCCCAAGACCAACGAAATTGAAAATTGCTTAAATGATACGCAAACCACCAAACAAAACGATCAAAAGCAGTAGCGGCCATACTATCTATACGACGGAACAAAATTTCTGTCGCTTGAGCCAAAACCTACATCAAATATGAAATAAACGTATAAATACATATTTTTATTTGTATATTATTTCAGTATATGTTATAATATTGCATTATAATCTTACTTGTGGCATTGTTGATGGCTGTAATTTACAAAGCTCAATTAAAATTGATCCATAGCATATTTCTAAATGCTTTGGTGCTGGTAATCTAAACAGTTCCCCAAATATTACTTCAACAATACAATAGTCCAATGGTATTTTTGCTTTATATGGAAAGTTCAATAGTTGAGCTGCACTGTAGTTTATTACACATGAATAATTGAATTATAAGATTGAAATAGTACAAAAACAGTAAATACAAAAAGAGAATACATACCAATCTTTTCTTTCAAAGAAATAGTTATTGATAATTTGCCTTAGATGTTCCTCTATAAGAAAACGTTCTATTGCATGACTTCCTGGTAACAATGGTCCTTCAGCTGGACAATCAGTATAATCAAACATGCGGAAAACTACTGTAGGTAATGGATAAGAATAAGATTCATGATGTGGTGGTGGCATTATTGTAGGTAAATTATGTTGCAATGCTTCACATAATATTGAATCAAATGCTAGATATGGTCTAGGAATATGTTTCTCTGCCCAATTATCTTGTCTAAGTTTCCTCACTTGAGCCCATAAACAGTCTAAGTATTCTTCTTGAGGATGAGGTGTATCACTTGACCAAACTCTTAATGCTGGTTGATGCTTTTTACTTCTTTTATTTAAAAATATCTCTATTGTGACCATTAAATGATCCAATTCTTGTTCTTTTTTCTCATATAATTCTCTTCCTACCCATGGTAATGTTGATAATACAGCATACACATACCTGTAATAAACGATAATAGATAAATGTACTTTGTTATATTCATTCATAAAATCATATTTTTAAAAAAATGTTATTTTTACATACCAATCTCGTCTTACTTGAGGTACACCATCTTCATTAGCAGTATCTAACATATTGTCAAACAACTGCATTAAAGATCCACAAGATAAAACATGACAATTTACTAAATCAGCTAAAAATCTTAATGAATATCTAGCTATATCCCATTTACAGGCTTTTAGTGCATCTTTAAAATTCTTTACCATATAGTCAACAAATTCACCACCAAAATTGAAATTCTTTGCATTTAACAACCCAACAAGTGTAGTATAAATTGTACACTTCTCTGGCATTCTAATAGCACATTCAGTTAAAATCCTAAGTATTTTGCTACGAAATAATCCAAGATCAGCTTCTAACACTGAAGCTAAACCTTCAAGATTGCTTTCCAGAGATGATGTAGATTTTTCTCCTACTCTCAAAATAAGAGATTCAAGTCTGTCCTCAATCTCTTGATTCTCTGATACCCTCCTACGTTTTTTATATGCTCGTTCTAAAAATTTATACGAAAATGACATACTTTTTTGTAAGTAGAAAAAAGTAATCTTTGCAATAATTATAATTAAAAATTTTAGAATTAATGGTAGCAGGGAAAAATAAAATTTTACCATATCCATCTTCTTCTTCGTGAACTCTCCTACGACTCATTTTTGAAAAATTAAATATATCGTGTTTATCAATCGTAATATTTACAACGTAATTTACTCCAACACGATTATATGTCCATAAGATTACAAATTAAAAGTCATTTAACTGTAAAACATCATTGAACAACCTAATTCTTCAATCTTCCATAACCAGATCACTTCGGCTGTAGGTAATTATGAAGCGAAGCGTTACACGAGATATAACCATGAATAAACTAATGTAGATTGTTACATGTTTTAAATATTTGTGACTCCAATCGTGGAAGTTGAACATCCACCTAGTGAAGGAATGATAAACCTTAGTTAGAAATATAGAAATCGGTGCAGCAACTCTACTACATCTTTAACTCATGATAAACAGTGGTGACTCGCAAATAGGCTCTACATTCATTCTAACCTAAGCTGCAAGTAGAGTCGAAGGAAAAGTCGAATTTTATATTTTGCATTCATTTTATGCAATAGTTGAAACAAAATGCCGGGAAGTGTGAAAGTAGAGTCAAAGACGAACAAAGAAGTCAGAAGTGGAAAGGAGGAGGATAAAAATGAACTGGTAAGTTCGGTTATTGTATAAGAGTTAGTTCAAAATATGACTTCTAACAATAAAAAATATAAAATACAAAAAGATATATTTATGTTTATTATAAATTTAAATGATTTAGATAGATTATTCGAATTAAAAAAAAATATAAATTTAATGTTTATCATAATATTTATTTTCTTTAATGACTTTTCAGTCTGAAGAAGATAAGTTATTACAAGAGGAGTTAACTCATCTCGTTGAACGTTTGCAAGACCCCAATAACAGTTTACATTATCCAGCTTTAGAATCACTGTGTAACCATATTCGTGCTTCTACTACATCAATGACCAGTGTTCCAAAACCTCTTAAATTCATGAGGCCTCATTATGATACTATGAAATCTATTTATGAAAAAATAACAGATATAAAATCCAAGGAATTATGTTCTGATGTTATTTCTGTTCTTGCTATGACCATGGGAGAAGGTAGAGAATGTCTTAAATATAGGCTTACTGGATCTGCTTTAGCCATTAAAGAATGGGGCCATGAGTATGTTAGACATTTATCAGGAGAATTAGCTGGTGAATGGGATGAATTAACAGATGATGCAGAAGCTACAAGCAAAAAACTAATAGCTTTGGTGCATGAAATTATACCTTATAATATGGCTCATAATGCAGAAACTGAAGCTTGTGATCTATTGATGGAGATTGAAAGATTAGATTTATTAAAACAATATGTGGATGAAAGTGCATATCAAAGAGTTTGTTTATATTTAACAAGCTGTATACCGTATGTAGCAGATCCAGAAAATAGCGCTTTACTTCTTGTTGCTGCTAGATTATACAGAAAGTTTGGTCAATATCCTCAGGCTGTTAGACTAGCAATGCAACTGAATAATTTACCTCTTATTGAAGATATATTTACAAATTGTACTGATCTGTAAGTTAAACTATTAATGAAATTATTTTATCTAACAAAGTGTAAATCAATGTAAACTTTTTTTTTTTTTAGTTCAGTGCAAAAGCAATTAGCATTTATGTTGGGTAGGCAACAAATTTTCTTGGAACTTCCAGAATCTACCCCAGAATATGATGATTTGGTAGAAATTATGTCTAATTCTTTGCTAAATTATCATTTCCTTAATCTCGCACGTGAACTGGATATAATGGAGCCAAAAACACCAGAAGATGTGTACAAATCACATTTAGAAAACTCTAGATCCCCATTTGGTGGTGGTCAAGTAGATTCAGCAAGACAAAATCTTGCTGCAAGTTTCGTTAATGGTTTCGTGAATGCAGCATTTGGTCAAGACAAATTATTGGTGGAAGATGGAAATAAATGGTTGTACAAGAATAAAGAGCACGGAATGCTTAGTGCTACAGCATCTCTTGGTCTTGTACTGTTATGGGATGTTGATGGTGGTTTAACACCAATTGACAAGTATCTTTATTCTTCTGAAGATTATATAAAATCCGGTGCTCTACTAGCTTGTGGTCTCGTCAATTGTCGTGTAAGGATCGAATGCGATCCTGCATTAGCTCTTCTGTCTGATTATGTATTACATAGTAGTAACACAATGCGCATTGGAGCGATTGTTGGTCTTGGTTTAGCATATGCAGGTTCGAATCGAGAAGCGGTCTATGGTCTGCTGATTCCTGTACTTAGTGATCCTAAATCCAGTTGGGAAGTCATAGGTGTAGCAGGCCTTGCACTAGGAATGGTTGCAGTTGGTTCTTGTAATGCTTACGTTACAACAACGATAATGCACGCTCTCATAGAGAAGTCAGAATCAGATCTTAAAGATACCTACGCACGATTTCTACCTTTAGGTCTTGGATTATGTTTCTTAGGGAAACAAGAAGCGGCAGAAGCTATAATAGCGGCTCTAGAAATAGTACCTGAACCTTTCAAATCAATGTCTACAACTTTAGTAGAAGTATGTGCGTATGCTGGTACTGGAAACGTTTTGAAGATTCAGCATCTATTACATATTTGTTCTGAACATTACGAACCGTCTAACGAGAAGGAGGACAAGAGCGATCGAAAAGATAAAGATAAGAAAGAAGAAAAAAAAGAGGATAAAGCAAAAGACCTTAGCTCAAGGCAGGCAATTGCCGTACTTGGTATTGCTTTAATAGCAATGGGAGAAGAAATTGGTGCTGAGATGGCATATAGAACATTTGGTCATTTGTTACGTTATTGCGAGCCTGTTATTCGGCGATCCGTTCCTCTCGCACTTGGACTTATATCAGTCTCCAATCCGAAACTGAATATACTTGACACATTATCCAAGTTCTCTCATGATAGCGATCCAGAAGTAGCTCATAATGCGATCTTTGCAATGGGTTTAGTCGGAGCTGGAACAAATAATGCAAGATTGGCTGCAATGTTAAGACAACTTGCTCAATTCCATGCAAAAGATCCAAACAATTTGTTTATGGTTCGCATTGCACAAGGTTTAACACATCTAGGTAAAGGAACCTTGACATTATCTCCATATCATAGTGATAGACAAGTATTAAGTCCTGTAGCACTTGCTGGACTTTTAGCTACACTAATTGGTTTTCTGGATGTAAAAAACAGTAAGTATTCGATCTTTTTTATGTGCTATGATTATCTAAAATATATTAAATAAACATAATTTTTGTTTTCAGTCATTCTAGGTCGATCGCATTATCTATTGTACACCTTAGCAGTTGCAATGCAACCAAGAATGTTAGTAACATTTGATGAAAAATTAAATCCTCTAGCTGTACCGGTTAGGGTTGGTCTTGCTGTGGATGTCGTAGGACAAGCGGGAAAACCAAAAACCATTACTGGTTTTCAAACACATACAACTCCCGTTTTACTTGCTTATGGTGAAAGAGCAGAACTTGCAACTGAAGAATATATACCTTTAACACCGATCATGGAAGGTTTTGTAATTTTAAGGAAAAATCCAGACTTCATACCTTAACTACAATAAAATTAAGTGGAAAGCATATTTTATATAAGTTCTAGTATAAAATATAATGAAAACTGTTGCATATATGCAGATGATTTTTTTGGTATATAATTCATAAATTAAATAATAGATTTAAAGTAATTGAAACTATCGTGGATTTATTTTTATGAATTGCTAAAATATTTAAGCAATGAATAAATCAGCAGTTTAAATAATTTTTGTATTTTCACATGTTATAATAAAATTACATTTCTTTAACAATAATATACTTTTATAAATAAAATACTGGTCAACATGTAAAGTATTCAAAAAGTAATCATTCTACGTTTATATGTTACAAAAATAGTAAAATCTTCGTTTACAACTGCACTTGTGTATTGGCAAGATAATATGATAAGTAGTCAGTCACATATATACGTATGAAATGTAAATATCTAAGAGATTAGCTCTTAGTTATGAATATTCGTGTCATTAATGCGTCAAAAAGTCATTGTGAACTTTTTTCAAAGGTATCATGTATAAAAATGTAAATATCTAATGATTCCACGAATTTATATCAATCAATAAATTCTATTAAAAATCTTAAACTACACGGCTTACATTACATGGAACGTAAATAGCTAATTTGTGATGTTGTTTTCTAAAAATTGTATGTAATGAAAACAAACTGTGAAGTATAGTATCACACTATTACACATATATCTATTATATATATTAATTTTGAATTACACAGTTTGTTTCCGGTCTATATAAAAAATATATGATTATTTTAAGCAATATTCGAACACATTTACATTTGTTGCATTATTTTTAACTAGAAACATTTATAGAAATGTAAAAAAAAGTATCAAAACATCATCAGTTATGGTAAAAGTCCATAATTATCTACTCTTGAGCTATTAATCTATAATAATACTAATAGACATATGTGTCTATACATCACTGCACAACTTGTACAATCTTCATATTTATTACAAAAGATTTTATAGAAATTATAAACTCTTCAAAAATTAAAATGTGTCATTTACGTTATGTTTTATGATACCAACTTTTATCAAACATATTTTTACCATTTTAAAGGAACAATATCTGAATAAAAATTTTTCAATAACTGCTTGTTATAGGTATTAACAAAAATTTGCTTCCATATTACAATGAACAGTAACTGGTGCTAGAACATGATGAGGAGATCCTAAATGGGTTGTTGGAGATGGAAGACAAGTGGATTGTCTTCTTAAATCAGATTCGGTATTAGTACCAACTACTAATAGTGGTTCAGCAAATATTTGTTGTTCAGAATCGTCATGAGGTGTCATCGTACTGTATCCATGATCACTATCACCACCAGGTGGTTTTCTATAATTTGTGGATACCTTATATGGCGATATAGGGGTAATACCATCTCTTATAAGAGAATCTAAATTATTTTTTGTTTGCTCCAATTCCATAGGTTCCACATCACCTTCTAAATGCGTCATACGCAGCATATCAGGGGACGTATGTATATGTAAACACTGATGTTCTAAACTAGATTGTACAGATCGAAGTCTATAACAAAATAGTATTACACCTAATATCAAAAGAAATGCTAATATTCCACCCGCTACAGGTCCAACAGATGGCCATTCGCGTACTGCAATTTCTTCCGTTGACTGAGAATCTGAAAAGAATTATATCTTTCAAGAAAAAGAATAATAAAAGAAACATTATATAAAAAATCACTTACTGTATGTGCCATCACTAAGTGGCATAAAAGATCCAAGAATACCTCGAAAGCATCCAGACATATCGCCACAAAACGGTGCTTGCAGTGGTGTTTCTCCATCATTGTCTAGATGACACCATTGACAGCCTACAATTCCTAAACATTCATTTTCTATTTTGAACATTTTACAATCAATGGACGGACACGTTTTCAAATTCGCGGATTGTATCCAAGGCATTTGCGAATTTCCCCCTTGTTCGTATGGTATCGAACAAGGTTCGAGATCATTCATATCGTTTATAGTATATTCCGCGCAATTCGAGTAATATAAAGCACATTCACATGGACATTCACATTCAGTCTGTTCCATTCTTTTGCAGTTTAAGCACGAGCGATCCATTGTACTGCATGGACAAAAAGCTCTTAATAAATTGCAAGTCACATTAACTATCCCTAAAAATACATTTGTTCCTGGTACTGCAGCTACTTGATACTTAACACAATGTTCACCATGAACTATGTTCGTAAGAACCTCATTGAGTGAAGTATTAAATTGATAGTACCTTTGCACAGTACCATCTAAGTAATTTGCGCAAGCTTTTTTCTTCACAAAAAGTTCGTGATTTAATATATCGTTTGCAACTAACAATTCTTTATGAGTCAAATGTTGTTGTTCAATTTTACCAGTTGGTTCTAATAATGCAGGATGCGATACTAAATATCCTTTATCATCCATTAAGAAACATTTTAGCGTTAAATTATTACAAAATGGAAACATTTCTTTCAGAAGTCTTGAAATAAAACCTAATGCTACATCCATAGATATGATTGCAACAGCGTCATCTTCTGTAGTTGCATCTAAATTATGATGAACCATGTGACTTAAAGTAACAACATATCCAGAACCACCAGCACCCAAATATGGAGATGTAAAAACTAATTTTCCAGGATGCTCCAGTGATTTTTTATACCATATTCTTCTCTTAGGATCGAAACCAGAATCAAGCATAATTCCTGGATATATCTCTAATACTCCACTTACAACTCCAACAATGTATCTATAACAAAATTAAATAAAAATTCTAATTCTTTTAAAATCCTGTTTTATGAAATCGTTTAATATATACCTTCTTATTATAAATTTATTTAAAGCACTTTCTATATGCCTGCCTTTAAAATAACCCAACATTTGAGTCAACATAGCAACATCTGGCCTAACAGATTGATGCAAACCAGGATTAGCTAATAATCCTGTTAAATCCTTCAAATACGCCATATAACTCTGCATTGTAATAGCAGATCCAGTTTCTAGTAATTTAAGTTGATCCATTGGTGACTGAAAACACCATGGAGAAAGGTAGACCACTCCTGCTGCTAAAATATAAATATATTTCCTTCTAAAATATCAATAACATTCTCCATTTTTAATCAACAAATGGTTAAAATTCATTAACTTACACAAAGTCGAAAGTTTGTTGTGATAAGTACATAGAATGTCTTTATCAGCAATACTATGCATTAAAAGATCAAGACGATGATGTAAAATATTCATTGACAATGTGGGCACTAATTTTGCAACAGGTAATATGCTTTCATTAGTTTTTGATACTAGACATAATATTAAATCTCTATATGTCAAATGTTTCCATCTATACCATTTCTAGAATGTAAACACTGGGTGAATGAAGTCTTATATATATTTATAAATAATAATGTACTGTATGTTCGAAAAAAGAAGGCACAGCGTGTTTACATCCTCACAGCTGATTCTCCCTTGATCACAGGCAGTGGTCTCTATTGGTCAAAACCGATGACCGATGGTTTTCGTCACCATCTTTGGCTAATAGCAGTCACTGCCTGTATCAGCGGAATTAGTCATCTCTGAGGATGTAAACACGCGATGCTTTCTTTTCTCAAACGCACTATACCTGATCTCCTAATTGTGTCTTCACATTTATGGCACCTTCATATTTTTCAACCATTGTTCTTACAGTTTCAGGACTAATATTTTCTATGTGATGTAAATTAACTTTGAGAGGTTGATCCATCATCATTTCCATTCGTGGAAAGTCTTTGTGAATCCAAACTATACCTTTATTATCAAATAATATAGCATATACATGCATACCAGCATTAAAATATGTTATATCATCAAGGAAATTTCGCAATTTAATATCTAAGGATATTAATGCTTTATTTGTAATATGGCCAATAGACAGAGTCATTGTTTTACTATACAAATCAAAATATGGATCAGATAAGTAATAATCTTTCTTATGTTCCTCAGAACATCTCAAATTGGAAAATAATTTTGACACTTCAAAGCCAAGTATATTTTGTGTTGGGAGAGTTAGAATACTATCATTGTATTCCTTAGTGTTTGAATGTGATTCCTGATCTACAAAAAAAGACTATTAATAATGCATGACAATACACACGCGCGCGCGCGCACACACATACATATATAATTAAACTCACCTGAAAGAATTAATATTGTTCTTACATAGCCATTTATTTTCCCTGTAGAAACCATGTTTCTTATTTTTCTCAAATGTGAAGTGAGCTTAAGTGTATTAGTCAAATGTATAAATACTACTTCACCCTTTACATGTTGAAGTAACTTGTTAAAATCAAATTCAATGGTATTATTTGTTTCTAATATATAACAAAAAATTCTATAAGTAATAAGCAAAGAATTATAACATGTATGACATATAAGAAAATAATTCTACCTATTCTAGTTAAACTGTGAATATAACGTGCTAATTGAAACTTATTAACATCTGTGGCTCTCAATAAACCATCCTTGCAATGAATAGAATTATTACTAGAAAGACCAATGACATTAATATAATCTGTATGAGACAACATATCGATTATTGTCTCTGCAGTTATTTGAGCTAAAGTAATATCTCCTTCAGACATAAACATAGCATGCTCAAGCAGTAATAATACATTCTTTTTTGGACAATATTGAGACAATAAAAGAGGTCCTATATTATGGCCTGCACTAGGTGGACCACACATAGTAACTGGATACATAAAAGGTAATAGATGTAAGTTCTTCCATTCTTGATTTCTTAAATGAAGTGCCAATTCTAAAATATATAAATTTATATTAGTCTGAAAATTGTAAATTCTAAATAAATTTAATTTACATACCTTGCACAATTTGGGAACAGAAATCTGCTAATCCATTCGATACTATGTCTAATCCATTTGTAGATTCAGAATAATCAAACTGATTTTCATTTTTTGCTAAAATTGGTTGTATAATATTATAGCTCTGCTTTAGAAGTTCTGCATAGGACAACAACTTGTTATTCAATTTATCTACCAATAAATTCAACCTCGTGTTCAAACTACTCGAGACATTCATAAATTCCATTTCATTAAGCATCTTTTGAAATGGTTTTAAACCAAGTTCTGCATCAGTAATTGACCGAAACTCGTTCGACAGTCGAATTATGATATCTCGCAAACAGGTTCCATTAAGCGGTTCTGCATTTACTTGCTTTCGTAGAGTTTTACCAAATTGACATTTTACATTTGCACTCGAACTCTCGTCAACTGAACTATGTACGTTTACAAGCACCGTTACAGTAAATCCTAATTGTAATATCCTCTTTCCAAACATCCTGTCAAATATTCTGTCACAAACAAAATTTAAATATATCGTGTGTCATTGACATCGATAGTTAATCTACATAAAACTGAATTAGTATTAATAACAATATTTAATTAATGTTAAATAATTTGTGTAAATAAGTAAATCAATAATCATTCTGTTTTTCAATTTACACCTGTTACTCTGTAACCTGAAAAATTCGTTATACCGCCATAACGACGCAGTCGCCACAAACAAGGTTGACAAGTGTACAACTGGAAATATTACTTTCTTGGCACTATCACTTCTAAATGAAACGTAATCGATGTGTCCTTAATATTACGAATGTATCTTGCGGTTTTAGAAATCTGCGATTAATTTTATCTTCAATATAACTTCTCGATTTTCTTTATTTTAAATATCATATAGAAATAATGATAAAAATAATAGTAAATGGTTTTAAAGAAATATACTATGTAACATAAATTTTAATTTGGAAGATGTAGGATATTAATGCAATAATAAAAGGTTGATTAACAAATTAAACCTAAAATTGTTAAAATTTAAAAAATTAGAATTTAAATGTTTGTTAATGATTAAATATAATATCCCAAAAATTTTATTTAGAAATAGTTCTAATTTTATAGATACAAACATCTAAATTGAGGAATTAAGAAATTAATAAAAATATTTGTAAATATAATATTAAAAACATTTTCAATTTGAATATTAAATAATAGAATTGTTATGGGACTTTTTTTGATAAGCAGTAGGTGGTGTTGAAGAATAAAATGTTCCTGCTTTTATTTCACCTAACTACTTGACATAAACGAAAATCATAAACGGATTCCAGTTATATTTTACGAACTTATGTGATTCGTATTTTTATCACAAAACTATTATATTTTTATATAAAAATGCATAATGGAAAAATTGGAAATAAGACAACATTGCACGTTTAACTGCAATGAAAAAATTACAAAAAACTACTATTTACGAAATTGCTTATTATGATAATGTCATGAGGTAAAGATAAATTTTATTATATGTTATTTGTTATTTATGTAAATACATTGTTATGATTTTAATTATAATAAGTCATAAAAAATAGTTATTTTTTATAACATGTAGATTTTTTTTCATATTATGCGCGTTATTAAAGGAACAAATTTTTAGATAAATAATAAAAATATATTATTCATACCATAAATATAAAATTAATAGTTTTATAATTATTATTTACAATGAAGTGTTGAGATTAAAATTATTCTACAACCATAATCACCATTGTTTTGTAATGTTTAATATAATTAGTATGTCGGTATTGTTTATAATATTCTAAAAACATATCTTTAAGGTATTTGAATAAAAACTTTATTTAAATATTAGACATTGTAAAATAGTTTACAAAATTACAATACTTTATAGATTGTAGTACAATAAATAAAAAATGATGTTTTATTCATAAATTACATAAACTATATATTTAAGTATCAAAAAGTTTATAAAAGTGTCATTACATAAATTTTAATACAAAAGGTTTAAAAATAACATATTTTTTAATACAAATGATTTGTTAATTTTCTTCTTACAACTGTTAAATGCATTAGTTTCATTAGTATGTTGACATTATCTAAAATTTTCTAAATAGGTCATAACAGAAGGATGACATTTAAGTAACTCTTTCCTTATTCATAATGAGGAATAAATATATTGGACATGGATATAATTAACATAGAAGATGTTGAAACTGGTGTTCGTCCATCTAAGAACTCTACTTCAATACAATGCAATTGCATCCACTCAAATTCAATATGCTATATTGTTGTAACAATTGCTACTTTAGCTCTTTTGGGTGCAATTGTCTTTATCTGCAGAGACTATATTAAAGTGCTACTCTATTGGATTGAACATCAGAACATATGGATCGTTACTGTAATATTCATTGCATTATTTACAGTGGTATCATTCCCTATTGTTATTGGTTATTTATTCCTTATAATTGCTAGTGGCTATTTGTTTGGTATATTAAGGGGTATCGTCATGGTAGTATTATCTGCCAATTTAGGAATAGCCATAGCACATGTTACTCTTAGTGCATTATCATCAAAATTACCTTTTCGAGCTCTTGTGCAAAATGATACTGCAAGAGCAATTCTTAGGGTTATATCTGGACCACAAGCTTTCAAGGTTGTGTTATTTGCAAGATTAACTCCTATTCCTTTTGGATTACAAAACACCATTTTTGCAGTATGTGTTTTCTATTTAATATTGAATGATAATAATGAAGAGCAACATTAATAATAATACATATAAATACCTAGGTAAGCAATATGGGTGGCATTCAATACCACATAGCTAGTGCATTAGGTTTACTGCCTGCTCAAATTATCAATATTTATTTGGGCAGTAGTTTAAGATCTATGCAAGATGTCCTTGAAGATAGATCAACAGCAGCAACTGGTTACATTGTCTTCTGTTTCCAAGTATATTTTTAGTTAAAACAATTGAGATTTAATTTTTTATACTATTCAAAAATATGAATAATTTTTCTATTTCAGATTCTAATAGGTATTTCATTGATGGTATATGTTGTACAAAAAGCACGTAGGGAACTTCAACTGGCATTATTAGAAGCTGATCTTGTCTCAATGGCTGATACCTCACACTACCTTCTTGATACATTACCAGATACAGTTTTAACAAATCTAATTGCCTAAGAATTGAATGAAAATTTTCCTTTTTCATTGGATACCTGCATGTTTCATGTCTAACGATTTCATTCGCATTGTTGTAATTAGTTAAAAGAAAAATATTTAATAGATTGGAGAAATTCAGTTCATTCTACATTAATAGCAGAAATAGTTATACAGGTATCTTTCCCATGTAATATTGTCTTAAAAGTATTGAATATTTTGTGATACAATCAACATTCATGATAATACAATCAACAATTTCTTTATTAAATATATTTTAATACAAATTTTTAGATAATAACAAAAGCAAATAGCCATATCACATTCATATTAAATTTTTCTTTCTCCTTTTTTAAAAAAAAAAATTTTTGTGCCAAATCTCAATTTCTTAACATGAAAATCTCCATATATTATTGTCTTCATATATTTCAGAAATCTAAATGCATTTATATTTGTTAATATATATTAATTTTTATGTACTGCTGACAGCTTTGCATTTACTTTTAATAGTACTTTTCCATAATATAACAAGTCTTCCAAAACATTTATCATTTGGATATTTGAAATGTTTCTAAACATACAAAAACTTACTGTAAAAATTCTAATTTAGTTAAACATATGAAATATAGAGGTTCTTAAGTATCAAAATCCAAGAGAAAGTAACTTATTTAATTAAAATAAATTGCTATATAACATGTTTATAAAATTTATGTAATTACAATTATATTTTGTATAAAATTAACACAGATCATTTACATAACATTTAAATTTTATATAATAAATTATCAGACTTGATGTTTATTTTATTGGAAAGACTAAAAATATAATTGAAGCTGCAGATAAAAATATTTGCATTCATTTATCATTATATTATTGTACAAATTAAAGTTTATGGTCATTTTTCTCTTACATGCATCAATTGATAGTTTGAATTCATTTTTTTTCAAGTTAATTTAAATATTGGCTTAATAGTATATAGTTTTATTTTATTAAGGAATAGTTGAAGAAAAAAGGTTTATATAGAATTAACAATTTTCATTTATACATATTATGAATGACTATGTACAGAATCCAATAACTTACAATTTGCATGGTAAATCAAAATATATCAGATAAAACTACATTGTACAAATGTAACATACATAATTATACCAAATAAAAGAACTTGGATTCACATATTGCAATTTAATTACTTTTTAATTTATTTACAATATTTTCTTTGGTATTTTTCTAATGCTCTTTCAATAACTGCAAAAGTAAAATCTGCATCCATCTTTGTTATGCATAAAGGTGGTTTTATTCGCAGCACCTATGTACATTGAATGTCATAAATATTCAGATATTAAATATTATAAATAGTTATAAGTATAGCTATTAACTATTAGATAACTTACATTTGCATATAACCCCCCTTTTCCAACTAGTACACCCATATTTTTTATATCTTCAAAGATCTCAAGTATATATTCAGTTTTTAATGGTTCTTTTGTCTCATAATTTGAAATTAATTCAATTCCGATCATTAATCCTTTTCCTCTAACATCGCCAACAATATTAGGAAATTCTAATAAGAAAGTGCTTAAGCGGTTGATTAAATAAATACCCACTGTGTGAGCATTTTCTTGAAGGCTTTCATCTTCTATAATCTAAATTTTATTATATTAGATGTTATAATTAATTTTCAGATTATTAGAAAAAAAAAAGAAAATTTTAATATAATTTAGAGAACGTGTCAAATTAGATATACTAACATCTAGTACCGTCGATCCTATAACACATCCAAGAGGATTTCCTCCGAACGTATTAAAATGCAATGCAGAATTTAAACTCTTGGCAATTTCGCTACTTGTAACTACTGCACCAAGAGGAAATCCGTTTCCTATACCTTTGGCTATAGTTACTATATCTGGTTTTACACCGTGACTCTCAAAACCCCAAAAATGTTCTCCCGTTCTACCGCAACCTGTCTGAACTTCATCCGCTATGCAAAGACCACCCATTTCATGAATATAATTATATACCTTCTGAAGAAAATATTTGGGATATTGAACAACTCCTCCTATACCCTAAAAATTATATAATATTTGTAATTAATATTTCTAAGTAAACTAATTAAATATGACGGAAAAGAATACCTGAATACTTTCAGCTACAAATGCTGCTATACTATGCGTACAAGGTAAACTAAAACGAAACGATTCATTAAATTTCTGAAAATATTTTTCAGAAGCTACACACTCTCCAGCTTTACAGTTACATTCCCTTCCCATTACTTGCACAAGCGAATCCCTACATTTTGATCCACCCCAAGTACCTTTGTACACATCTGGATATACAGTCTGAAATAGTACATATATATGTACTTGCTTTACATTTGTTCATTTCCGATTTATGTTACTGTTGGATCTTCCACAAAACATTTGAATATGGACCTAATACTTAGACTTTACTTACGTGTATGTAACCAGGCGGCTGTGTAATAAATGGGTACTGCCATGTACTCATTGCTGTTGATGCTAAGGTTCCATAAGTTGCACCATGATAACCATTTCTTAATGAAAGGATATTATGATTGCGTGTATAAAGTCTAGCCATTAAGAATGCCAACTCGTTTGCTTCAGAACCGCTATTTGTTAGATATACTACTTTTAATTCATTTGAAAATTTACCAATTAACTTGGTTACATATTCGTATAAACGAAGATGCATATAAAGGGAAGATATATGGTTCAATTGTGATGCTTGTTTAGTTATAGCAGCTACTATCTTTCTGAAAAAATATATATCATTTTTTTATATTCTTTAATCTTTTATATCGTTATTATCTCTTGTATTATGTTAGTCTTACGGATGAGAGTGACCAACAGAGATAGTAGCAACTCCACCGAACATATCTAAATAACGTTTACCGCGATGATCCCACAACCATTGTGCTCGACCTTCATATATTAATAATGGTTCTTTATAAAATTGCTTCAAAGAAGGTGATATGATCAATTCTTGTGCTCTCTTTACAACTTCGTAATTTATACCCTAAATTATAAAGAAATGTAATAATGAAATTTTTGTTATGATTATAATATAAAGAAAAAATAATCTCTATGTACAAACAAAATGTCTTACCTTGTAAATAGAAGGTATGTATTCACAATCGGGCATTTTCAAAGAATCTTTCATCATACTTGCATAATTTCTAATTTGCATATTAAACCCTAAGATAATAATTTACATATTAGTCATTTTTTGTGAAAAGTTTAATTAAAAAATTCATTAGTTATATAAAAATAAAGATTATTAAAGATCATTAAATCACACTTTAAAATTTATTGTTTAATTTATTAATTATTTAATTTAATTTATTATATTATTTTTGTAAAAATATGTTGAACATAATCATACTTTTTTAAAAAATATATTGTAGCAGAAGGATGACCTTACATTTAAACAATTAATTAAAATTTAATATATAAATTAATTTAATTTAAAATAAAATACTTACATTTTAAGTTCCATGAATTAGCACAAGTTGTAGTAATTTGTACATACTTCTTTGTTGACATATTCTTCCAAATTTTATTTTTTAATTGTCAAAGTATGAACAGTCTCGTATGTACTCGTATTGTATGTGTTTTAACTTCTTGACGATCGTACATTAATGAGGAACGGTACCCGATTATGTATGCACGAATTTAAAAGTTAAACAAATTTATTTTCGTCTAAATATTCGTGTATAAATTATACATGTAAGTAGGCTCAGTTTTATAGGGATAAAAGAGGTCAAAAAAATTCATATAAGGGTGTTGATACGCGGGAATGTTCCATTGTGAATATTCATAATGAATAACAATACTACTTTTAAACAAATTTTAATACATATTAATTAAATTCATATCTATAAGACTATAGAAATTTTAATGAAGCACAATTTTTAACATTTTGTTTTAATAAAATGGATATAATAAAACATATATCATCATTACCATATAAATTATTTTATTTGCTGTTTGAATTTATTTACATAAACTGGTGAACTACTTTTTCTTTACATTAAAATTTTGAGATATCTGTTTTATATCAGATGTTTTATTATCTTCTTCAAGATATTGTTGTTCATTTAAAACTGAGGTCAATTTAAATGTTATTGGAATTTTTTCTAAAATAGGATTTGTTTTCTGCAAGCACCTTATCCATGACAATAGAGAATCTTTAGAAGATGTACCTGTAGCACATATTGCATAATATACACCATCCTCTTGTTCATGAAGGGTAACAGGTATTTTAAAATTGTGCTTTTCCCAAAATGGAATTTTCAAATCAGATACATCTGAAAATGAAACAAAATATGAATTAATATTTGAATTATTCAACATAAAACATACAAAATTCTTTATTTGCTTTTACCATGATAGTCTTCATAAATGATTTCTCTTTTTATTGGATCTCCTTTTAATACAAAATAATTTATATAATATTTATCAACCCAAATATTAAAAGGACCTTCTACAGTTAATGATTTATCAATTGTTTGTACTGCAAGAAGTTCTTGTTGTGATCTACTTATAGAAGATACAATCCATGTATGATCAATTGCTTCTGGTATAGTCTCTGTACTATACACCTTAATATCAGCTTGTACATCTACACTGGATAATTTTATTAAAGCCATTCGAGCATACTCTTTTGGATCCATTGGCATACATTTAGGAACTGGCCAAGGATTTAATTCAGAAAACTTTGGTAACCAATAAAGCAAGCTCCAACATTTTTCTGTAACATAACTCATAGTACCAAAAGTATTTAGAATCATTTTCTCCAATTTGTAATCAGGTATTACAAAATTTTTTTCCATCTGATTAAGTATTGATATTGCTGCTTGTTGATGTTTAAAATAATGATACAACATAACTTGGAATTTATTTTGTGGTACATATTTTCCTTCTGGAAATATACTAAATAATGCTTTGTAAACTTCTATATCTTTGTTTACATTGAATTCTTCCATATACTTTAAAGCAGAAGAAATAAATTCTAATTGTGATATTCTACGAGTATCACTTTCCTTATATTTATTTATAATTTCAAGAAAAGTTTCTTTCTCTTTTCTTTGTACATTAAAACGATAAGGTATAAGATTGCTATTTAAATCACTTTTATTGTACAAAATTTGATTATTATGAAAATAATTAACAAATATTAATTGCACAGTTGTGCGTTTTCTAATTATCACAGATTTGTATAATGTGACAAACGCTTTTCTCATTAAAGTGTTCATATTATTATTTTATTTAAATTTTATAATATTTAATTTAACTACATATATGTTATCATAGTATGTGTTACATTGTCAACAATTTCTTCTCATAACCTTTTATCTGAAGTAAATAAATACTATAGTATACACAAGCAGACATCGATATAATTTTTAAAGAAGCCAATAATAAATTTTCGTAAATTTTATTTCTCACCTGACATCTAATGTAAATATAGTTTTGTTATATTTTCAGTAATATTTATTAGGTACCAATGAATAAGCGCCACCTAAGTAGTTACTACTCGAAATATTTTAACATTTTTATGAAAGAAATTCATGATGAACTTCGTTGAGAACCTCTATTGTAAATATAATAATAGAAGAATGGTTACGTATTATAGTATTTGATATAATGAATATTTAATATAACAAATTATTATCATATTATATTATGGACAAGTCTTTTATTATTAAAAAACAAAAAACTAAAGAATTTAATTACTAGTATTTAACAATTACTGCATAAATATGACGACATAACCAATGAATAAATAATTAAAATCAAGATTTTTATACTAAATTAATTACAACTAATGAATAATATACTAATGGAAAATTATTGAATATTATACAATTACAGATTGTGTTACAGCTTATTAAAAATAATATGAATTTATATTTATACCTAATATTAATGAAGGATGATTGGGTATAAAATTAAAAAAGACATAAATATATAAAATCTAAAGAATAAAAGGAAAAGATTTTTTTCTACAATAAATATTTATATATATATATATATATATACTTTAAAGCAGAAGAAATAAATTCTAATTGTGATATTCTACGAGTATCACTTTCCTTATATTTATTTATAATTTCAAGAAAAGTTTCTTTCTCTTTTCTTTGTACATTAAAACGATAAGGTATAAGATTGCTATTTAAATCACTTTTATTGTACAAAATTTGATTATTATGAAAATAATTAACAAATATTAATTGCACAGTTGTGCGTTTTCTAATTATCACAGATTTGTATAATGTGACAAACGCTTTTCTCATTAAAGTGTTCATATTATTATTTTATTTAAATTTTATAATATTTAATTTAACTACATATATGTTATCATAGTATGTGTTACATTGTCAACAATTTCTTCTCATAACCTTTTATCTGAAGTAAATAAATACTATAGTATACACAAGCAGACATCGATATAATTTTTAAAGAAGCCAATAATAAATTTTCGTAAATTTTATTTCTCACCTGACATCTAATGTAAATATAGTTTTGTTATATTTTCAGTAATATTTATTAGGTACCAATGAATAAGCGCCACCTAAGTAGTTACTACTCGAAATATTTTAACATTTTTATGAAAGAAATTCATGATGAACTTCGTTGAGAACCTCTATTGTAAATATAATAATAGAAGAATGGTTACGTATTATAGTATTTGATATAATGAATATTTAATATAACAAATTATTATCATATTATATTATGGACAAGTCTTTTATTATTAAAAAACAAAAAACTAAAGAATTTAATTACTAGTATTTAACAATTACTGCATAAATATGACGACATAACCAATGAATAAATAATTAAAATCAAGATTTTTATACTAAATTAATTACAACTAATGAATAATATACTAATGGAAAATTATTGAATATTATACAATTACAGATTGTGTTACAGCTTATTAAAAATAATATGAATTTATATTTATACCTAATATTAATGAAGGATGATTGGGTATAAAATTAAAAAAGACATAAATATATAAAATCTAAAGAATAAAAGGAAAAGATTTTTTTCTACAATAAATATTTATATATATATATATATATATAACTAAACATAATCAAAAAATGAATCCCATACTAAAAATATTTTTGATTCATTGTTGGGCAAATATATATTTAATAATTGGGATTAGCATGGGTCTAAGTCTCAGTATAATGTTAATACCAGTTGATGTAGATAATTATAATAAGAATACAGAATATTTAATGCATTATTTAAGTTATCAAGAAGACTTGGATGAATATGAACCAAAAATAAATATTAATAACAAACCTCAACAAGCACAAAAAGTTTCTAAAGCATTAGTACGTCCGAGATATTATTCTACAGAGCTTGGAATTAGAGAAAAATTATTTATAGGAGTGATAACAAGTCAACAATATTTATATAGTCGAGACATAGCAATCAATAAAACAGTTGCCCACATTGTGGATAAAGTACGTTATTTCATTTCTATACCAGAAGGAACAAAACCTAATGTTACTCTTCCTGGCATAGTTGGATTTACAGATACCAGAAGTATTTTGAAGCCATTCCATACTATGAAATACATAATTGATAATTATTTGGAAAATTATGATTATTATTTTTTGATCAAAGATGCAAATTACATCAATATTAAGAAATTAGTAAAATTTGTTACCAAAATTAGTGTAAGTCAAAATGTTCATGTGGGTGTCCTTGGAGATATTCCAACTTATTGTTCCTTGGGTAAACTAATTGAAATATTAAAACATTATTTAATATAATGGTTTACTAATAATAAATTATTGTTAATTTCCAGATTCAGGAATCCTTTTGAGCAATTCAGTAATACAAGAATTAAAGAACAATTTAGATTGGTGTGTAAAAAACTCTTATTCTGAATCAGATGATATTAATTTTGGGCGATGCATTATGCATTCTACTTCAATACCTTGCTCTAATCATATACAAGGGCAAAAATTTTTGTACACCAAATTGGAACCAACATTCTCGTTTGAACAGAATTTAAAGCAATTAGTTAGAAATAAACAGTTCCTAAATTCACTTGTAATATACCCAATATATGATCATTTTTTAGTTTACAAATTAAACACTTATTTTGCCGCAGTAAGTTTGTTAAATGTATTTAAAATTATTTAATGTATTAATTTATTATATTATTTATTAATATTTAATATTAAGTATAGGTCCTCCACAAGAACATAATGTTTCTTGGCCTATTGGTAATCAACCAGGAAACAAAGCAGTTGGTCGTTTCGATATTTTGCGATGGACATATTTTAACGAGACCCACATATTTTTTGATACTGACTTCTCAATTATACAGGAATTAAAAACTGACGCTAAATTCGACATAGAGCGTATAATTAATATTACAGCTTCTAGTATTCTTGCTGATTATCAAGATACAATAAAATTTAATAAACTTTTAAATGGATATCGAAGATTTGATGCATCTCGAGGAATGGATTATATATTAGACTTAGCATTTATTGATGTTAGTACTAGTAAAATATTAAGAAAGAGAATTGAAGTGTGTAAACCGCTTGGTAAAGTTGAGATCTTGCCTGTTCCATATGTTACTGAAAATACAAGGATAAATATAATATTGATCATAAATTTATCAAAAAAGCAAGATGCATTAAATTTTTTGGAGCAATATGCTTTAGACTGTATGGAAAAAAAGTATAAGACTTTTCTGATGGTGGTTGGTATTTTTACTTTTTGTTAAGTTTCTGTTTTGTTAATCTCATTTATATATATTTTTGATTTTGTTTTATTACATATAGGTTCTTTTATATAATTTTGATGCTGCATCAAAAGGGAAGGGAGACATATATTATGAAATTAAACAATATGCACTATTATTGGCTGAAAAATATAAGAAACAGCAATCAAAAATTACCTGGCTTTCTATACGTTTGCCAAATATTATAACATCTGTTGAAACAAATCATTTGCTGAATATTGCTATTACAGATTTATGTATAAGAAAATTTACACCTGAAAGTTTGATACTTTTTGTTGAGACTGGAATAGAACTGCGACTGGATTATTTAAACAGAGTATGTACATAAAAAGTATTAAGACTAATAAAAATTTCATACATATAAATTAAACAAAAATTTAATATCTAGATTCGCATGAACACTATTAATCAGTATCAAGTATTTAGTCCAATTCCTTTCATGGAATACCATCCGGATATAGTTCATATGAACGATATAAAACAAGTTGATACAGATATTAATCGAAATCATGGAAGATACGATGAATATAATTTTAATAATATCGCCTTTTATGTTAAAGACTACAATACAAGTATGTACATTTTTATACTTTTTTCTTTTATTATTGTTCATTGCATTTAATACATCTATATTTTCTTGTAGTGAGAAAAACTGTTGAGACTAGCATTCCAATAATACATTCTGATCGAGATATTTCTTCAATGTTGAAGCTTTCACAGAATATTCCTATAACTTCTTTGTTCGAGATGTTTGTTTCTTTCAGTAATGTGCACATTTTACGTGCAATAGAGCCGGCCCTCAAAGTAAAGTATAAAAATTTTGATTGTTCTTACACAACTGATGATATCAACAAGTTTTGTATATGGTCGAAAAATCTTCATTTGGGTCGGCGTAGTCAACTCGCCAGATTGATACTGGATTATCAAACTTACTTAAATACTTTATAAGCATAAATATACGACTAAATGATACGACTATAATACTCTCACATCGAACATAGTTATATAGTTTATATAGTACAAACTTTTAAATTGTCTCAAAAAGAGGTTGTTGAAAGAAATCTTAGCATGCTTGATGAAAGCATAGATATTAAAATGTTTACATATGTATGCAAGTATATAATAAGATTTATATTATAATGAATACTTTATTAAATTTATACATTTCATTTAAATAATTAATTCATTTAAATAATATTATTGTAAGTAATACAGTCGTTTAATTTTTTCGTTTTTTGTAACACATCACATATCATTTTTTACAAAGAGCTTGCAAAAGAAAATTAATTGGATGTGTTATGTACGACATTTACATATTTAAAATTATTTAAAAAAACACAAACAGTAAATTGAAAATTATAAAATCGAAGCATTTGCCACTTTCTTAGGAAGTACATAAAAGATTTTGGCAAGATTTCTATTTTTAAAATATATAGGAAAATAAAGATCATATAATTACACTAAATATTAGTCAGTAGTAATTGTACAATCCCTAATACCTTATAAATAAATGTACATACACTACATTATCATTTGTATTCATTACATCTTTTTTTTCCATATGTTTACTGCGTAGGAAGCAAAAATTTCTGTATCTGTATATATTATAACTTATTGCAATACATATAGAATATATGGACCATGCTTTCGAATTCGCTATACATATTTTTCTGTGTGTGATGTAGAATAGAATTAAATTGTTCTATTTCTTCTGATTTCTTTGATATACAACAGTAAATAAAGTGTCAAAAAAAATATAAAATTTTTTGACAAGGTAGATCTTTAGAAGACCTTTTATTGTTCCTGAAAAAAATAGTTTCAACTGGAACATGTATATTAATACAGATGAAATTTTTATATATAGTTTAAACAAACATTACCATTAATTACTGTCGGATTCTGATTCTGATAATTGTAAATCATCGTTTAAGAGATTATCTGGCATAAGGCGTGTTGGAGATGAAGCTGTGCTATTTAAATGTCCTAAAAAAAAAAACATTGAATATATATTATATTGAAAAAGAATGTAAAATCTATAAAATTTGTTATAAAAATATATAAATTACTAATATTTTTAATAAATAAAAATAATTATACTAAAAGCATACCATTAGTTCCTGGTAAAACTGGAACATTTTCAGTGTCTGAATCACTGTCTGAACTATCTGAACTTGAACTACTTGAAGTAGAATCACTAAGAGCACCCTCATCACTATCCATAGCTACAGAAAGTTTTACAGTAGATTGATTATTGGTTATAGAAGATGACCTTGAAGGAGCAGAAGAATTGATAGTCGGCAATGACCCAGATGATGTTAAAGGACAGTCATCATTGTCAGAACCAATCATTGGCAAACTAGCCAAAGTTGATGGTGCCACTGATGGTTGCACTGGTGAACTAAAGTTCTGTGTGTTTTTAGTACGTTTAGAATAAAATCTTAATATATTACTGTAACATTACTATATAATCAAGATTTCAAAGAATTATTTTAAACTTTTCATAAAACAACTCAAATTTAATTTTTTTTATTAAAATTAAAAAAAGTTAAAATTACAGAATATTGAAGTTGATATCTACTTGTAAGATATGTAGTTAAAGATGTTTAATACCTATTAATGGAAGTAGAAGGTGGGCTTTTGCCATGATATGGTGATACTCTAAGTGGACTATACTGTTTTGGATGTAATTGAATACTAGGTTCTCTTTTTTTTCCACTTGTAACTTTTGTTCTTCCTGTTGTTCTTCCATGAGTAGGACTCTTTTTGGTTTCTACTGGAGTTATAGGTCTATTACTACTATTTCCACCAGAAATTCCTAAATGTGACTGAGACTTTGGTTCTGTTCTAAAACATGATATAACATTTACATGTAATGCTTTATTATAACTTAAAATAACATTACTTACCGAGTTTTTTTCACTTGAATATTTGCTGTCAATTTTTCCAATGTAATTTCTCCTGTAACTCTATCAATTATTAAAACACACTCTTTATGATAAGGTCTTTGCGAGCCTTTAAAAACTGTGTGAGGAATTCCAGCACCATCTAAATGTGGAACAGTGACTGTCATCATATTATTTGTTCCAACATCAACCCTTGCCACTTTGGAAACATCAACACTTGCTGGTTTAAAATCATCTAAGTATAAGGAATTAATGTTGAAAGAAAATTATTGCAAAATATATTTACACACTTAGGTTATAAATGAAAGAAATTTGTGCACTAACATTTTAAAGTATGAAATGCAGTCGATCTGTTATTTGTAAAAGTTGGTCCCAGTTTGAGTTCCCGAATCTCAGGACCCAAACCGAGCCGCTCTGCCATGTCACGCCCGATACCTTGAAAGTTTGTTTCAGGAACAGAAGTGACTGATTTCATTGGATATAATTTTATTAATCTCTCTTTCAAGAACGTGAATAAAACAAGTGCTAAAGACACACGAAGTTCACGTACAATTCAGATTAATTTTTTGCACTCTTTATTCGTTATTCTGCCGAAATATGGCAAAGACGCGCATTTGTATTTTCTAGTAACAGCTGCTTGAAATGTTGCTTCGTTTATATTGTTGTAATTAATTTGCTTAAACGTTCGATTGTTTTATTTTGTGCAAGCGAAATAATTATAATTAATACCGTGTTTTAACAAACAACAAATTCATATGATACAGAAAAATCAAACGAAAATATTACAGCTCACACAATGTAAGATTCATTGACCTAGTTTTCTTAAGTATCTGCACTCATGAAAATCCACACTTACGGTTAACTTACTTGATAATTGCTTGAGAACGCGATAAAAAAAGGACTGATTACACTGACAGAATTAGTCCATTGACTCAATTAAATTTAAGATATATTATGATTGATTTGTTCTCGAATTCTCAGTAGCAGCATTGTAGCAAACGTTTTCAGACTCAACTGAAAATTAACTTTCCAGTGTATTATAGGAATTTAAGTATTATCATAGGTTCTATATCGAATACAGATAGGCTACAAACTACAGTATCTGACAAATATATATAATGTTCAAAACAAGAAGAATCATTTAATAATGTTTTATTAAAATTCTTTCAAAAATTTACAAAATTTAAGAAACAGTCAAAATATAGATTTCTAAAATATTTTATTAACAAATGTGGTTTGTTACATATATTTCATATTAATACTTATAACACAAATATCCCTATTTCTACATTTGATTGTCTAGGGACATTTTATGATTCTAGGGATTTTATCGTATCACAACACACACGTATAAATTTAAAATGAATACATGTAAACTATTTCTCCAAATATATAAAACTATATTATACAATTAAATTATTTACACTTCATTCAGTGTGAAAACCATGAAAATTTCTACAAAGCAGAGAGAATATTGCGTTAGGTCAGTACTTGGAATATCGTAATAATAACAAAATTCATCAATGAAAAAACGTTCGAATATATACGAGACAACTAAGCTAATAACATTGTAATTACTGTTTTTCAAACCAATTAACGTAATCATTAATAATTGCAAGGTAGTGGTAATATTCATTAGCAATTGATGCCTTCTTATTTGAGTTTCTTTTTGCTTTGGTTGTAGGTGAAAAAATAGTGGCCAAATGCCTAATGAAAGTATTATAAGCCAAATTTTTTCACTAATTCCATATCCTTGTAGGATACCGGCAGTGAACAATGTGATCATTAACAGTTGTAAGGTATTGGTAATATTCATTAATAATTGATGGTTTTTTATTTGGCTTTCTTTTTGCTTTGGCTGCAGAAGAAAGAATACTGGCAAAATGCCCAATGAAAGTACTAGAAGCCAAACTTTTTCGCTAATTCCATATCCTTGTAGGATACCAGCAGTGAACAATGCCAATGGTACAATATCAACAATCTTGGAGTACCAGTCATAGAAGATCCTTAAGTACTTTGCTACATTCGTTGCTGATGTAAGAAATGGAGCTCCTGGAAGCAACATTGCTAAAAATAATATGCTCTATACCATATACACATTATAAGTGCTACTATATTCACTATATGTTATAGCGTGAACAAATCAACTTTAAACACTGAAGCTGCAAATGTTTCTCTAGACCTAAAATTTTTATAGGTGTTATAAAATTTTTTTGATTATATACCTATATTCACCCTAGTTTTTAGAATTGTGGAGCAAGAGAACAAAATATAAAATGTGAAGATATTTATTTTTAATCTTTAGATGTGATATACAATTATAATTATTAATTGTATAATTGATTTAAAAATAATATGTAGTTGGAACTTGTGAGAAATAATATAATTAATGGTTATTTTGTACTTTCTAACAAACATACAATTTTTAAACAACTTAGATTTTAAGGCTATATATAAATAAATTTCAGACTAAATAATACTAACATATATTTTAATATGTAATTAATTAATATCTATTACATGAAGTGAATGATAAAAATTTATGATATAGGATAAAAAAAAAATTTTATTTAAAGTATTTATTTTTTAAACCATTATGAAGTATCATGTTAGTTGTATCATATATATAAGTTTCATTATCAAATAACTAAAGTTAAAACAAAAAAAAAAATATACTATTTATAAATGTAACAATAAGCAAAATTGAGACTTTATAAGAATATTATATATCATAAAATAATCAAAATTAATATGTATATATCATATTTATTCTAGCAATATTTAAGAATATAATTACATATGTAAATCATATGTAATATGTCAACTAAAAATTTACTCTATGAGAAATATACTACTATGTAATCATCCTTTTTCATATATCTCACTTAGAGACTAATTCATTGAATTATATTATTTCTCATCTATTCCAAGAAAAGTGAAATTTTATAAATAATATGCTAAAAGCACTGCTTCTTCCTTTGGAGCTTTACATTTAAAAGTCAAGTACAATACCCTTATGTAGTTTCATACCAACTAATCCTTTGCGTGACCCCCACTAACATATAAGACGTACTTTAAGGGGGCCCTGTACAGATAATATTGCTTTAAAAATATACTAGCCAAATATCAAAATAGAAAATACATAATTATCAGAAAATGTATCCTTACCAAACCTGAATGTTCCCAGTATAGAGTGTGAAAGTAGAATTTGAAAGGCACAAAATGACCAGATGCTTGCTTTGTCATATTTATTACCGAGAGTTCTCATGCAACCAATTGTCACGAGAAACTTTGCTAAATGTGCTAGGATGCTACTTGAACAAATCATGGTCACCTTTTATTCACACACACTGTTCTTTTTGGTTTAACTATTCTAAGGGCGCGTGATTTATTAAATTTAACAAAAACTTCCATGCGATCACGATTAGGATACGTCGTTACGAAGAAATGTCTTTATATCGTACTGACACAGTAAATAATTTTTATATGATTCGTTTGATATTTGAATGAGGTTATGTGTAATTAGACCGGTACTAATTATCTTTTAATGGTCGATTTGCATTAAACATCTATCTCCCTAAATTTTTACAATTTTATTAAAACACAAACCTCGATATAGATAGCAGCACGAACATCGTATTCTATTTAGATAGGTCGACCATGCACATATATGTATCTTGTTGGTGTCTCCAAATGGTTTTGCTACATATTTTGGCCAAGGAAGCTAGATTCGATGCTATGCCGTGACGTAAGCTTTTATACCATTGGCTAAAGAAAAAGCAGTAGAAAGATAACTTGGACTGATGTGGCAAAGATTTGGGATTCTAGGGCTCACTAGATAACAAAAAGTAGAAGAAAAGGCACAACGTCAGGTGCAAATAGAAACGAATAGTGAAGTTATAAGTAAATTTTTTGATCATGGTGTTGATGTATTTCTTTTCTGTTTTTCTGATTTAATTTTAGTGAAGTAGCAAGGATCCAAGCACAAGTAAGGCATATATTTAATGTTTTGGATGAGTATAATGTAAAAAATTATCATTTTTTAAAAGATAGTAGTATGAAAAATAATAAATTTTGTTGTAATAGACGGTAGTATTTTCTTTCCTCTTGCTCGTTAGATTAGAAAGCATTTTAAGATACTTGGATTCAAGAATCGGTTTTTTAAATTATGACTAAGCATGAAAGAAAATACACAGTCAAGTGCATAATTTGCAATTAACATTTCTTAGTCCATAGAAACATCTTGTTGGTTCATACACAGATTAAGATAGATTGGAGGAAACCTTTAAAAGTATCATTCAAAAAGCAACAAGACGGGACAGTTACCTGTAGTTCCTATGATAGAAACATTTAGTGGAACAGTTCAGAGATTTTAGAAAGAAATTTCTGCAGTCAGAGATAATATTATACATTGTTAAATATAGAAATTTCAAATAAATTATCTAATAAATTTGAAAAAATAATATTTATTAATGAATGATATTCATTTACCATAGCAATTTTCAACAGAAGAGAAGAAAACAATTAGATATTTTAAGGTTTTAGGATACAATAAACAAGGAAAAATAAATGATTTAAATGTATACTGTTTATATAAAAATGTTTATAAAGTTGCACAACTGTGTCCATTAATCAAAATTAAGTTATATTTAAATAATGTAGATAAAACTTGGATTATATATGAGATACTTTAAGAACAATGTTGTAATTATTTAATACTATGTATGAGAAGTTATTTATATTGGATAATTTGGTAGATATTTTATTAACAGATATTCCAGATGAGAATACTTGCAACATTAAAGCAATTAACTTTTGTACATTTGTATATATGTACATATTGTATTATTTGTATAAGTATTTTGTTTTTATAGTTATAAAGACAAAATTCTTATAATTTAATGTATCTATAATTTTATATTATATGTATCTATATTTATGTACATTTATTATAACTATATAGTATATTACTTTATATTAAGTTATTTCGTTCGTTATTGCATTTCTAATATCTGATATGGATATAATTAGGTTATGACTATGGTTATATTATTATGGTTTAGTGGTTAATCACGTTGTGTAATATCTTCGCGTTATGTTGCCAAGCAACGCGCTCCTTACTGGACCCCTCCATTATATCATCGGATCTGGCATCTCTGATTTTGACTATCACATTACACTGGTGACACTAATTTAGTACATTTAATAACAGAAATATGAGCAGGTGTTTGAATATTCTAATCAATATAGTAATAATATTGATATAGAATGTACTTAAAGATATAAATTTGGTTGTGTACATAATTAAGAATAGCTAATTGTTTAGAGTAAAAATATTGTCGATAAATGTTATTTATAATTTAGTTTATATATTTCACATATAACATGAATGAAATGAATATTATGAAAAGAGTAGGATTTTGAAGAAAATTAGTACAATAGTCATAATTACACTTACATATAAAAGAAAATAAAAGATTAAATTGGCAAGTAAGTGTTGCCAATTTAAATTAGTTTAATTTTTTAAACTAAATCAAATAGAGAATTTTTTATGAACCAAAAAAGAAAAAAGTATGATGGAGATCAATGTCTTCCTTCTGTTCAAAACGACAGTGTGACTAATCCATCACTGATGCCCGTTGACGCTTCCATTAAAAGTTTTGCAGCAGTACTGCAGTATTTTTACCCTTGACAATTTGTCGTGTAATCGTGGTAAACGTTCGTGCGCACTCGACGTTTAATCGTTACACTACCCTAAAACTTATATGGACTTCGTATCATTGGAAATTCGGATTTTATTTGTCATAGTGATTTTTAAATGAAATTTATTCAAGAATCTCTTGTTTGCAATGCACACTTATATTTTATAAGATTTCAAATGAAAAATGTTGATTTCACATACATAACATAAAGAAAATCGTTTAAACCTCTTTTTTTTTTGGTTTATTATATTCATAAAAATAAAAATATATTGCGGTAATTAAAAGAATATAAAAATGATATAATGTGTAATATTTAATTATAAACGGTATCTCATTTATGATTTCGTAGATATCCAGTCAGTGCTGCCATCTATTGCATGAAAATTTTGTAGATATTTGTCTGATCGAAATCAACATTATGAGTTTTGATTGAAATACTTATAATTAAAGTTTTAAATTTACATCAAAATGTTTGTATAAACTGTAGTATTTTAAACTTATTTTCTATTTTCACAAAAGTAATACTCATGTATATAATAGTGTTTTAAAATTAAATAATTACGTTTTTTAGTAATTTCATCGTATACATAAATTTTATAACTCTAGAAAAAATAAATACATATTACCAACAGTTATTTAATATTTTAATTAAATTTAATATCAATAATTTAAGTCAATTCTAATGATTAAATGATATCAAAAAATATATTATGTGTCAATGTACATTCTTTAAAAAATAAACCATACAATACTGAAAATCCTATTTATTTCAAAAATATAATTATTTAATAAGTATTTTTTTTAGGGCAATGTTAAAAGAACCAGTTTTAATAACAGTCATGGTAATTTTGATATATTTTTTTCTTCGCAATTTTATTACTACACTGGCAAATGCACAGCTGAATCGTATGTTAACTTATTTTATTACAAGTTTTTACACGAAATGAGTTGTTCACATGTGTATAACACCTTGAAATATTTATCAACTACGAAATGGCCTCTTGTATTCCATATATGCTTATAAGATGATTTCTTAAATAACTATTCCCTACGTTTACCTATATTGCTGATTACTAAAATTAGAATTTTGCGACATTTTTACATTGGGCGCCAGAAATGCTATTTTAAAATATAACCGTATAACTCTTTGTGGAGTAAACTGTAATTCGATTTATAAACCAATTTCTAAGAACTGTCATAATTTTTGTTTTTATCGTTGACATAGAAAAGTTAAAAATAATTTTCTTTTTATAAATATTTATTGTAGTATACGAAAATAAACTTTTAAAATGATTTTAACTTTTCTGACGTAATGTTTCTTCGATCATGCTTAGTTTCTTGATCGAATAATTATGATTTTTTCCTTACTTGCAATTTTGAACGCAAGTTAAGTTCTTGTTGTTTTATTCTGACAGAAATTAGTCATTGCTTAACAATAAAAATTATAACTTTAGTGTAATTAGGTCACGTGATGCGGAAATTATCCCTTTTGTTTTTTCTTAATCAATATCCGTGTCTATAAAAAACAAATTATATAACATAATTTATAATTTAGATAAAACATTTGAAATTTGATTACTTATCATTTCTACTTGTGAAAATTTTTAGAACTAGCTTTGACTTTGTAAGAAGTACAGGATACGTCAGCCTACCTTTTTAAAATAATGTTTGAACGTAATATACTTCCAAGTTCCAAAATATTCTTAATTATTTACTGTATCATATATATTTCATAGAAATGTGGTATTCTAGAGTACAAATCAAATTTCCGGCACGTTTGAAGGATAATTATTCACAAGATGAGAGGATAAATGAAGTATTTCATTTCCGAAAATCAGATTAACATCAGGAGAAGATTCTTCATTACCCGAATGTTGCTGTATTTCACAACAGTGGTTACAATGTTTTGTTAGAAGTCTAACCTATACTACTGACACACTATGCGTGTGCAGGAAAGTAAAAATGAAATGATAGTCTAATCTCAAGACTTTCTCGAACTAGACATGCGATGTGGTATATATTATTCACGATAGAAAGAAACAGACATACTATTATCGATCATTGATACGATATTTGACAGAGCATATAGTCATTGTTTTTATATAACTTCATCGGGATGACTGAATATATACATTTGTTGCATAACCTTGTTGCAGCATGGATTAAAATTCATAAAGAATATACACATATGCTATATCATTAATTATAAATACAAAGTAATTTTCTTTTATGTCTGTTCTTCATGTTTAAGAATTTCATTTTAAACTCAATTTTAAATGTTAGATTTTTTATTTTTGTTAAAGAAATATATTCTCATCGTTAGACCGTATAGGTAGGATATTTTAATATTTGATGGAGTTCTGGATGAATGAATGTTACGTGAAAGATGATCTTCAAGAGATTGAAATTGCAAAACAGTTTCGGTAAGTTCTTTCTCCGTCCGGAGAAGCTGCTTCATCTTTAATGAAACAATCGAGGAGAAATTTAATGAATTCTGCTTTCAGATCTTAAACGCGACGTGAAATCGTTAAGTTCATCGGCTAATATCTGGTTCAATGCATTCGTTATAATGAAAATCCGAAGGGAGGCAAGGTGAAAACTTTGAAAGTATTCATATATATACATATTCATATAGATATTCGTGTTCTACCTTTCAATTGTAATTTCAGTGAATGCGATTTAATATTTAAATTTTGTAATATTCGAGTATTCATTATATCCAAATGTTCAATTTTGTTCGAGCACCTCATCATTTGGGTACCTTGGAAGCTAAGGTAGTCAAGAACTCAAGTGCTTGTGTACTTAGAATTTGGAAACCTAGACACTTGGTTAGCTTAGCACCCAGAAATTCAAGTACTCGAGTATTTTTGCACTCCGTTATCGTGACAGGGAACTTAAATCCTGGGTATCTTGTGTTCTCTTTCTATATTCCTTTTTACTTATATACGTAGCATTCAAAATCAAAGTACTCAAAGGCACGTGTATTTGAGTATTACATGCATAATTTTATTACTTGTATCGAAAAACAGATTTTAAATAATCTTTGAATAATACGTTCAAGAATTACGAAGGTTTTCTTTAAATATCACCTTTCGGCCTTGGATGGATTGAGCGCACCGTAAATTTTGCGCGAATTACGTAATAATTTGTCAAAATGAATGGATGCAACTTGTACAATTTACTTAAATAAGTACTTGCGTCCTTAATAAAAGCATTTAATCGACCGAGCAAAAATACATTTTTGTAAATTGCGGAGTGTTTTCGTTTGTGCCAGAACAACGAGATGACGCTAAGATATCTTATATCGACTACGTAAGGAAGATATATTGCAAATTCAAAATATTTAATCTTTCTCAAAAATTAAATTAATCTGGCACTAACACATTTTTAAAAAATCAATTCATATCTTTCATTTTAAATCACTTCATTTTTATTCTATTTGATTTTATTTCATTTTATATAACTCTTACTTAAGTAGAGTAGTATAAACATATATTATTTTATGTTATTGAAATAACGAATACGATTAGTGACAATAAAAGTTAGCGAAAATAAATTATTTTCTTTGCTACTGAAATACAAAACGTGTATCGTGATACATATGTTAAAGTGTCGCGTGATGTAGATCATAAATCAGTGTAATACACAAGTAGTGATAATCATAGCATCGGCCATTTGTATCATGTTACTTCGTTTCACTGTATCCATGGACAGTTTTTAAGAAAACGAATAAAATAAAAGAATATTGTGTATTTGTGTATTAAACCTTTTTATTAAACTGTGATTTTCTTAAATTCATTAGAAATTGAATCGAGATATTTAATAATTCAAATTGAAAACAAATGATAAATATTTAGGTTATGTAAAGATTATGGATCGATAATTTGTTATCGATAATAATATTGGGAAATGGAAGGAAGAATGGAAGAATTAGTTACCGATTCTTGAATAACGATCCATTTATTTTATTTTGAAATTTTCAGGCATATATCAAGTTTATGTTTTTCCGAAAAAATTAACTCGGTATTGTGACCAATACTCCATGTTAGTCTCCTGCTTACGTGAAAACGAAGGGAGAACAAAAACACAAGGGTGAAGAGAACGCTTACCTCTCGGGTGTATCCACATGAAAAGGTGCATTTGCGGGTAGGAAGTGGAGGAGAAGAAAGTGATGATGGTAAAACAGACTCGTGTACACAACATATGCACAAGAACTTGACACAAGCGAAAAAAAAGGGAAGAGTCTCGAGAGTGCACGTGATGGTATAGTTTACATGCGGTGAGGAGACGATCTGCTCTCTGCGACTAAGAGAAAACACAAGGTAGTGGTTTCAATTCAGGTACTTTAATAAACATGTACAGTTAAACGTATTCTGTTGAACGTATTATTATTATTATTATTTGATGATGTATATATCATCTTTTGAACACGGGCGGACTCTAGAGTCATTTTACAATGACCAAGAAACACAGTGAAATGATAAATGACCTTGAACCCGCCTAATACGCACTGAATTAAATTATCATAAACTATAATTGGCAATGTTTCGCGTGATACAAGACATTACGGCGAGTAATCTTTCCTTTCCACTTTTTATTATTATTCTTTTTTCTTTCCAGTCAAACCCATTCCTATGCAATAAACGCCTAAGAAAATAGCGCGCGATTGTTACAGTGTGTCGAAGATTTAGAAAAAGATAGTGAAAATTTGACGAAACGCATTTTTCTATCCATTAGTTTTTCTCTACCTATCTGCTTCTCTTTATCAGAGTGCGACTCGGATGTGCGGTAAAATTGCGGAAAAATATTGTTCAGAATACACAAAAGGTTCACATTCCATTTCGGCGGACGTCGATGTCGATAAAACAGTGATGCTTTCATGAGGCATGCGCGGACTTCTCATACGCAATTTCAACTGGTTTCAAACAACTATACAATTTAAAAACAATCAAAATAAAAGAAAAACCATCTTGCTACATAATGTAATTCACGGATACAAAACTCAAAATGTTTCAACGATTATCGTAAAAAAATTATTATAATTCGCTAATGCCCAGATTATATGTACACACACTCGTTGCGATACACGACGTCCGTGTAATTCTTTACGTCTTCTTTATACACACACACAGTGGCGATGAACGTACATGCATCCGTACGCTGCACTCATATGCACACTCAAGCAACTCCGTTGATATATTCACGTTTCAGGCTCCACCAACGAACGGTAGATACATATATTGCTATCGAATATTTCAGACTATCGATTTTTTCGACAAAGTGTACAACATTCGATCGTTCTGTTTCACTCTCTCGTTATTTGGCAGTAAAGAAATTAAGGAGTTAATCTCACGGAATTATTATGCGTATCTCGTCTAGGATTTGTTATTTGCAGCGTTAAACAGAGAAGTTCGTTTGAAAATAAAAAACGTTGTCCTTTTAGCTCTAAAAGAAATGCTGGTGAATAAAAGAAATTTACATATATTGTATACATATATACCGACGAACAAAAATTGTATAATTGTTGATTCAAAAGAGTATTAGAATCGTACCAAGATAAGGTAACATGTGTTTCGTTTTATTAGCAATAAAAATTCTAATAGCCTTTTTATCACTTCACTTACCACTCTTATATTCTCCCTATCCTCAGTGGCGTTCGAACGTCCACTCTTGAGCTTTTTTTCTTCTGTTTTATACTTCGATTCGATTTACCGTAGTTACAAGATATGCACACATTGTATACTAATGCTTAATAGTCACCATATTAGTTATTATTCATTTTTATTAACACGTTCGCTACGAATACAATGTTTTTCCTTTTTTGTTTTTGTTCATTCGATCATTTGGAAAACGCATCCGTTCACTTACATTTGTATAATAAGAAATTTTTGTAGTGTCGCGTTATTCCTACGGTAATGGCCGCTATATTTGAAACTATCTTAAGCAATAAATCACGCTGTGGCTTAAGGCAGAGCGAATAACCATTAAAAGTGAAAAATTACGGTAAGGCTAATATACGAGCCACCAGTGACTCGTATATCGCAGCGAAAGTGTTAATCAACGTAACGGCGGAACGTTACCACCGTAGTCTCGAGCCGAAACCACCCTCCTGCAACATTACATTCTCTCATAACCGCATTTATGCATGCGTGTCAGTAACTTGCCTCTTTACCGCCTCGACGGAATTGAATAGAAAAAACAGTTCGAAGAGATTCGGCGAAAGTGAAAAACAAGAGTAAGAATCACTTAAAAAAGAGAAGTAAAATAAAAAATAAAAAAATGAAATTGATTGTGTTATTCTTTTATTGGTTAAAGGATTGAATATATCACAGTATGAAAAGGAACTAAAAATATTTCTTAATCCTGGGATAATGAACACTTGCAACGTAATGATACTATAGAGTATCAACGCATAGCAATCTTATTGTATTTACCAGTATACTTCGATAGGTGGCGTATTTGCTCGTCGATTCATCAATAGTCTGATACGGTCGATCTATACATTTTAAACCTATTATAACGAACAACTTTTAATTAAAATTAAGCCAGTATCGAAAGTAATTAGTAAGAGTCCAATGTTCACCGCTGATCACAGCTCAATGTGTCTATGATTTACCAATTGCTGTTTTTCGGCAAATGCTAAATCCACGTTCATGAGAACTCCATTTTCTCCCTCGCCGAGCAATTCGAAGGCGGTAAATTCGCGCGAACTAAACACTTATGGCGTCGTGCACCAGATGGCGCAACGGGCGCACGCATACACATCCAAATACAGAGTAGCCCGGTAAAAAGGATCATACGTTCTCCTGACGTTTTCAGACTGTGAGATCCAAGAAAGAATGTACAAACTGGGATGGAGCGCACTGTACAACGATATCTTTGATTAAAGAAGTCTTTTAACGTGAATGTTTAATAAGACTGGACGCCTACACACGTAATAACACGATTTTAAATCCTCTTAACACGATAAATGCGAAGCTAATTTTGCTTTATTTTTCATTTAGGCAGCATATAAATACAGCAACTGCGCCTGTACATAAACAGAAGACAGCGAGTAGAAAAGTGGGTAAGAGTCAACTTTTCTTTTTCTAATCTTCCAAAGGAGAACCTCATTTTTTTTTTCCTTTTTTTATGTCTCAATAAAACCTATCAAAAATGTGTAAATATATTTTTGAATATTGTACGTATTACAAAATATCATTTTCCAAATTTTTGACAGTTGATCATCAGGGACTAACTATAGCTTCATCAGTTATACATCGAACAATTTAGAAGTCACTGGACAGTCTAATTGTGCGTGAGAACACGTTCAAAAAAAGAAAGAAAAGGAAACGTTCACCAAATCGAAGAACTAATTAGGAATTATATCACGATCAGTATGTACGTAGTCGAATTCCCATTTCATGTAAACCAGTTTGAATCTAATGAACTGAGAATTAAATCGATTATCCATCGTTCAAATAGAATTGATTTGTTTTTCAATTTATCAGTCGGCGAACAATCGATCGGTTCGATACGATATCATTTTGCTCCATTTGCTTTGTAATTTCTTTAGGGCCATTATTAAATTAAAGAGACGAGAACTTCAATACGGTTAAATTTGATTCGAGTTACTTGATACAATTTATTTAAGTGGCTCTTGAAATTCTCAACGTTAAACAATTGAACGTTCAAATGTTTGTTTTAATACGTTCAACTATGCGAATGCTTCATTTAGAATAAAATATGTTGAAACGAAAGCGCGAATACGATGGATTTGTACTGGTTACACTGGTCGGTGACTTCGCAATCGGATGTTTGTAACTGAATATTTTTACAGGAAATTTTTAGAGTTGGCGCTAACATTTTTGATATCTGCTGAACAATCGAGACAAAAGCAAAAGTCAGTCGCAGCAGAAAATGCATTTCAAACGTATGAATGTTCTGACCAACCTGTGCATATTGTATTATGAAATGGGATCTAAATTGTTCGCAATTGTTAAAACGTGTGGGCGTCACAGACAGTTACGTTTCCCTTTAAACTTTTAAACCTTGACCGGACTCGGTGTTATTCGATTCCGACTAAAATGTAAATAGTTTACAAAAAAGAATTATTTACGAGTCATGAATATCTCGAATGACTAGTTAAACTAATGGATTCACAACTAAATAATACACCGGGTGGCGCAAAAAGGAAACGCTATAAAAAGTAGATTTAAGTAAAAGCAACGGTAAGTTTTTAATGTTCTTATGTGCATATCTATATAATATTCTTATATAATCATTAATGTCATTGATATTATTAATAACTCATTTTAAATTATTAATAATATCTACATTAATACTATATATTAATAATTATATTATATACGGTACATGGCATGTTTGAACGAAATAAAATCGATGAAACCAACACGAGTAAAGACTTTAGAAACAAAGATCGAATTTGATAGCACTAATACTACACGAATCCAAGTCGTTTTGCACCACCACGTAAAAAGCAAATCAATCAATAAAATTTCTGACCCTCGACACAGTGACGTTTTACAATGACACATATTACATAAGACAATAAAGAAATTTTACTTAAGCAGATCACAGCTGCTTCCGCTTGGCCATGTTTTAGATTTCTTTTAATTACATTCTTCCCATCGTATACGCTTACGAACTACTGGTCGATTTTTCATATTTTTTTTTTTTATTTCTTTTATAGAAAAACGCAAATAAGGAAAATTCCATTGGATGCTTTGTAACATAGCTGCCATTCAAGAGACGTTTATAAGATTTTGAGTGAAGCTACAATCATTAGGGTGCAGTTACAAGCTTCGAAGATTCGTTGAAGTATTTTTATTGGATCGATAGATCGATTCTTCGCAATTACGTTTCTTTGCTTTTTATTTCGCAATGAAAAAACGCAGTTTCGCCAATTCGACATAAATAAGCGGAAATACTCGCTACGTTATAAAACGAAAAAATATGACTCTCCTCTCAAAGTTAATAAGCTTTCGTATCACTTTCACAGTTTCATCGACTGATAACCGTTGTTCATTGGACAGAAATATTGGTTCCGAATGAATTTTGAATGTTCTGGATCCTCCGCTACTGATCGCGCGATGCAATCGCATAGCTAATTACATTAAAAAAGAAGGAAAACATAACAAAGAACGGTTATATAAAAACGCATAAAATTGTTCCTATCTAATTAACACAACGTACATTAACGCCTTTTATGTGTATATGCGCGCGCGTACGTGCTACTCGCATAAGTAACATACGTTTGAATTAGGTTCAAGCAATCTAGGTTAAGTGTGCATATACGTGCATTAATCCGAGAGTTGAAACCTGGATTAGGTTAAGGTACATCTAAAATTTGGTTAAACTAGATTCGTATTAAGTCAAATTAGATATGAGCGAGTAGCATAAGTATATGAATCTTAGCATAAAATTATGACTGTGGAATAAGGTATGTTAGATCTAGGATTAGGCGAGCTAGATTGGGTTAGATTTGAGACAAATTAGGTTCATGTTTATATTTATTCAAAATTGCAAATGTGGATTAAACGAGGTTAGATTTATTTCGTTGATAGTTCGGCTTCGGTTCTGAATAGATAGAATTAAATAGAATTAAACAGTTATAAGTTAAGATAAATATATTGATCTAAAATATAGATTATGGATTAGAATTGAGTAGCTTCGCGAAAGGCTGTGAGTTAGGTTAGATTACATAATGTGGCACTTGAGGCAGATTTAACCTGTATAAAAAGAACGGAATTGTTCGCAGAGTAGATGTGCAAGGTGTTTCGAAATTTTATGTCACGATTATCATCGGGATTTTACAACTTCGGATCAGTGTCTATCCGTCAAAAAGTGGGGTAAAATTGTCCCTGGCCGATTTTTCAAGGTCGAATTTTTTTAACGATAGCACCGCGTTTTACAAGGAACAAACTTGCGAAAGATACCATGGTTCGGTACTCAACCATCCTATTAGAAATTAATGTTGAAGTTTCAATAATTTCTTAATCCGCTTCGTTTATTCGTTTAATTTATTTACATTTTACAGTAAAATATAGATTAAATAATTGGGAAGGAAATATTCTTTAGGTCGAAAAATATATCACACTATATATTGTGATACTATATAGTGAGGTATACTATAGTGAGGTAAAATGGGAGATTACTACATTCGATTAAAACACCAATGTTCCGCGATTTTCTGCAGCTGAATCATCAGTTTGGTGATCTATTACATCAGTTTCCAAGAGAATGATCGAGTTCCGTCTCATGATCCCTTCTGTAAGTTTGTTCCTTTCAACAAGTAGAATATGACACGCCATAACAAAATTTGACCTTGAAAAAGTTGGTCAAGGACATTTTTAACAGATCTCCACCAATACAGAGTTGTAGATCCCACTATGATAACCGTGACGCATAATTTCGAATCATCTTGTAGATACGTACTTGCTTTAAATCGTAATTTTGTATATGACTTACGTATATGCAAATTAAGCACAGGTTAGGTCTGATTATGAGTCAGAGCTGTAGCGGTATACGCTTATGCCTATATCCATATGTATACGTTTCATTGCATATCTTCTCCGCATGCTCATCAACTTTCGCATGTTCTCGTTGTGAATTTACTACGAGACATCGTGAACAGATTTCACAACAATAAATAGGCTATTTTCGTATAATAATTTTCATCAGTACGATACTTGGTGACCCATCAAGTGTGCACAATGTTTAAATATCAATATTTACAAAACAAATTTTATGATCAATAATATTATTTAAAAAAAAAGAGTAAGCCAGTGAGCGAGTGAGTGAGTGAGTGAGTAAGTGTGTGTGCGCGCGCGCGCGTGAGAGAAAGAGGGAGAGAGAGAGAGAGAGACAAACAAGCTGTCATAGATTCTCTATTAATACAGCATAAGCGAATTTACGATATTAAATGGCGAAACACGTTACTTTTTAAAAATCACGTTAGCTGAAGAATTTCGCAAAATATCGTAATAAAATTGCGAGCAACAACAAGTAATCGTCGTTGACTTTTTACGGTTTATCGTTGTGGTGTGTTTTCATGGATCAGCGATTTTGAGTGTAATGGTTGCCTGTGATAAGCAAATGTAGTCGGCGATAATTGTTATTACATAAACCGATTAATTCAATCAATTGTAAAACTAAATGTAAAAGTGAAGTATAAATATTATAACATTTTTGCTAACGGGTAAATTAAAATTCGCCGATAAGTACAGGTTACTAGAATTAATAGCTATTAAACGATTCGAAACAGGTCATTCATCGAAGTGGAATCATAGAGAAATTATCACTGGATAAGTTACAATTATTATCCTAGAATAGCATGGATCGGTCAATGATCTTTCATCGACGAATGGAGATCATTGATGGCGAGTTCACAAACTTGGACCAGCATCGAGTGTTTTCGAGTACAGCGTACTTAGGAAACCTTGAGACCAGCACAGCTTCCTCCTCGAAGAGTGAACCACAAACCTTGAAATCGATCGTACGAAACAGAGGGGCGAAGACGTTCGAATGCTACGAATGTTGCCACGTTGTTGATTTGGGGTTAGCATGGGAAAGGGAATTTCACAGCACAGCTGGCATCGTTCGATACACGAAATAAATGGAGAAATTCAAATTTAGTCTAAGGCTAACTTCAAAATGCCGCATTTACATCGCAAATAGCACTCGATTTGGCTTCCTCATTAAACGACAATTTAACCTCATCTGCTGTACCGAATTACAAATTTTCACGCGCGAATAAAAATATCGGTAATTAAATCCTTGTTTATCATTGAACAACGCGTTAATTCGTATCCGATGATATTATTTTCGCGTTATTTGATCTTTCTCGAATTTGAAACATTAATGAATCATTCCACGAATAAAGTTTATCGAATGACAAATTGTAACGTATAAAATTCACACAACGGAACGACTACACGTTTCGACCCGCTTGTGTACGATTCGATGAGTCACCCTCCACTCCCACCCTCCTTTACTTCGTATTGTCTCGCCGTCTGGCGTGTCCCTTCGATAACTCACCCGCCATGATGCACATCGAACGTTTGATTCGCTTCTAAATCGTACTTCGAAAGGAAGAGC